AACAAAAACAACATCTGCCGGAGCCCAAATTTCGTAAGACAATAAAGTAAACCTAAAAATACGCCAACAAAAGCTTCAATGCTCATTGTCATTACTACGAGAAAGCACGTGCCTCTCGTCACTCACTTACTAAGAAAGTGTTCCCATTCGGCGTGACTCCTGAACCTCAGCCTCTTTCGTTCCAGTGTCGTCGGCGGCGAGGGGTCGAAGGTGACGGTTTTCGGAGACGGCGTTCGCCTGCGTAACTTGGCACTCATCTCGGCGTGTGCGTGCGTATCAACACCGAAAAAACACTGTCACGACCGAATCGCCAATCGCAGCAATGACAAGAACAATAGGCAATAAGTTTAGGGAAGATCCCGACGATGACTAACTGTTGCACCCGCCGTCGACTTTTGGCAACTTGGTTATGGTTATTAATAGAACACTTGCGGAATCACGAAAACTACTCTCCACCTTTACGTAACGTCATTTTCGCGATTTCTTTGCGGGACCGGAAACGCCGGAAATTGGACGTGCGAAAGTCACGTGGTACGTCGAAGCGTGGCCAAATTATATTTAGATGTGCGCGATTTTTGATTGTTCACTGGTGCTAGTTTTCGTTTTCGTTTTCATTGAGCCCACGATGGGAGACCCACACACACGTGGACTTATACAGACACGCTGTACTTGAAACCGATGGTATTGGAAGCGATTTTGGTATTTCAGTCATGTGGCGGCAGGTGGATTGCGACACGACCGGAAAAAGAAACAATACTTTGCAATTTTTTAGTTGTGACGTTTCAAATCACGTTCAGACGTATTTATTATTTATTGATCGCTCGTTCAAGGCTAAGTGCATAGTAGGTATGGAAAAAGCCACACCACACTAACTCCGATCGAAGCAACAAGTATGGATTTTCCCGGATCGACTAAAAGCATCAAGTCTAATTTATTTACGTAGGTAGTCTCTGAATTTCCAAAAAAACAAAAAACAGAAAAATGAACGATCGAGTCGGGGTTAGAAAAACAAAGAAAGCAAACGTTATAACAGCAGTAATTCTTTAATTTTTATTATAAAACTAGCTGACCCGGTGAACTTCGTTTCACCTACAATTTATTTGACTATATCTTTTGATCAGCAATAATCAATCCTAATCAACCTTCCTGGTATCCGATCCAACGCAATTTTGAACATTTTGAGTAAGTAAGAGAAGGAAGTATTGTAATCGAGTCTGTCCTCCGACTTTCCACTTTTAGGTTTTATGGACCTTTCATGACCCCTAGAGTTCGAAGAAATAGGTCTCCCGTTTCCGTCTGTCTGCAGATAGTAAAACGCTAACCATCCCCACCAATAATGTAATGACGTCACTTAGTTACACGTTACATAGTAAATAAGTTTTAAATTATATAAAATAACATAGTCCTACACACGTACTTCACGACTCCGTGTCGAGTTTTTGCCCGAAACGACCGGATTTTTGGAAAAAAATCAAAATTATAAAACAACATTTTGCAATTTAATTTTGAATCTGCAAAACAGAATGCTTTGAAAGCTTGCAGATGCTTTAAAGATATGATAAGCATAACCAATTTTTATTCAAAATATATTTACTTACCCCCTCCAAAAAATTGATGAAGTAAGCCCAAAATTTTGGCAAATGAATCCTATCTAAAATGTCCAAAATAGGATGAGTCTATACTTGTGAAGTATCATTCCATTCATATTTTTTAGATCTGCTTATACAGGGTGACTCAAAAAAAATAATGAATGGGTGAATTAATTTTATTGATTTAATCAGGAACTGCAAAACCGAATGCTTTGAAATCTTGGAGATGCTTGAAAGTTATCATAAGCATGGTAATTTTTTGATTAAAATGTATTTGCTCCTTCCCCCTAAAAAATTGATGACGTCAACTCAAAATTTTGTAGTAGGATTAATTAATAAAAATAAAAATAATAATAACCAAAACCAAAGGGCATTCATAAACCACAAGTAGAAAACTGCGTTATTTTAAAAAGTTTAATCACATGTGGGGACGATTAGACAAATTTTGGTTAACGTCAAAAAAAAATCCGCGCATTCAGACAACACAGTGAAGCGGGAGATCTACTGTTTCGTTTGATACTACGGGTTATGAAATGTCAAGAAAACATGAAAGTAGCCATTCGTTTATGCTCGAGAGGTAAAAATACTAAACAAATTATTAAGATTTTCTGGAATTAATTGACAAATACGTGGTTAACTTCAAAAATTCGTTAGTCTCAAGTATTACAACTTTGTCCACTACTTGAGTCTTGTTAGACGGCATAAATTTAACAATCCCGCATTATTATTTATAGTGATTGATATTTAACCTAAAACTAATGCAGTACAATAAAGTGCGTTGATAAATTTTACTGACTTAAAATGGCACTTGGGTGTAATCCATTAATGTATGACATTTAGGCTAATGATGGCTATGCTACTATTTACTAATACCACGACGTTTATTGCCACTGTCCCATTATCAGTTTTTTTTTTTTAACAAAATGAAGTTATTTTAAAAGATCGAAGTTTTCTGTTTTTTAGTTAAATATATATATTTATTGTCAATTTTGTGGTTGATATTTGCCCTTAACATGGGCCAAACCAAATACAAGCTCCTTACGTACTTTAAATGATAAGTGTAACAAATTTACATAAATGATTACTATCGACAGATAAGTTGTCATTTATTGAGTTAATCGTGTCACAATAAATTTGAACAACGATAAATTGTAACAACTAACAAAAATTGAACTGGTATACCTCTTCTTTTTTTTTTTGACTTGCAGTATTTCAAAAAAATACTATTGTGTACAGGGTGATTTTTTTAAATTTCTGCTCTAGTTAGGTGCGACGCTTACGTCAGTAGCGAAATTGAAAAGGTTGACGAAACCGTCATGGCTAAATTGAGCAGAAATTAAAAAAATCACCCAATACTAACATATTAATTTTTTCCATTTACCTACTGGGGAAAAATATCAGATAACTAACTGATCAGTTTTGATAAATTCTGGTTAGTCAGATAACCAAGGAACTTTCAGCATAATTTCCATTACTTTTTAATTGGTTTTTAATTTGTTTGACTATTACACATGCTGTAGTATGATATAGAAAAAACGGTGACAAAAATATTAAAACGACAGTGCAATTATTTTTATTAATTTATATTTGTATTTTCTTCTACAATTTCAAAACGTGTTTCAAAATGACTTTCATCTAGTCTCCTATGGCTGCAGATTTTCATCAAGGTAAAGACAGGAGTTGAAGCGATTTCAAAGCTAACTAGATGAAAATCATTTTGAAACACCTTTTATTTATTTCAAAAAATTAGATCAGAACTAAAAATTGTGAACAAATCCAAAAAGTTAACACTCCTAGAAATGATGTGTAAATGATAAAAAACAATATTTTATGACAGGCCTGTTAATTTAATGTTTTCCCAAAGCTTTATTCAACAACATTTTAAAACGAAGTTATTAATTTTTTGTTGATGATAACTGACAATTTAATTGCGAGATGTACAACGTAACACTATATATAACTCATTTTATTACTCTGAACTGTCAGCAAATAAATCTATCTATTTATTGAAGCACAAATAGCACCCCACGTAAAGGTCACAATAACAAAGATTTATTTCTCAGTTTCTTCAGATGACATCATTAAATTTCTGGACGGGATGAATAAATCAACTTTAGTTTGTGTACGTCAGCATTGCAACCCGACAAACATTTAAAAAAATGTATTTGCAATAAATTACAGATTGATTTGTGCAACGAGCATGTGGCACTAGATAATTTAAGAGATATTTATTAACAAAGTTTCAAGACGATGACATATTTTTTAAATCAATTAATGAATAAATTTTAGCTAATGTTCCACCATCTATGAACGAATGTCGTATTTTTTTTGTATTAAATTAAACCCTGCGATAGAACTTTAAATCCGTCATTAAAGGACATTTAAAGTGAAATTAACAATAAAAAAAATTATATAAATTTTGGTTATGTTAATATAGCACCCTCAAAATTTTTGCTAGAAATTAAATTAAACACATAGTAATAATTATACACAGTATTTATATTTTTTCCAACGCAAAATTAATCGAATATTTATTATTTTCACTGTTTAAAGCCCAATCAAATTTTTTGGGAAGTATTCTTTTATTGTGCAAAATTTATTTGAGTTTCTAGCACTACATTTTTTAATTGAATTATTTTATCAAACTTTTCATATATTTTATTACTCAAGATTCTTACAACATAAAAAGTTAGGCAGTTTCGCAGATTGTCTCTCTAATAAAATCGCCAACCCACAAACAAATATCTATAATGACGCTTCTAGAGAGTTAGCTAGTAATGACCCGAATGGGGTTATGTATCTGAAATTTAAAGAAATAATGAAATTATAAAGGTGTGTAATCAAGAATTCGTTCAGCAACTGAACACCTGAAAATGGAAATAAACATGGCACAATGATAAAGATTTGAACTATTTAATTAAATTAATGACTTGAGAAAAAAAACTTTACCGTAAATTTTAAGGAATTTTAAAACAGAACAAATAAATTCGTTTTATTTTTCTAAGTATAATTTAAAAGTTTCAAAGCATAAGCCAGGTTCATAAAAATAATTTAAATATGATTGTTTATAGTTAAAAATAATCGCAATATATTGTGGTGGTGGTGGAGTGGTGTATTTATAAACCGTATTCCAAAAATGACGGAGAAACTCGATAATATATAGATGCACTTCAAATTTGAAAAATTAACTTTGTAATTCTGACTTGTTTTAATAGACTGCAGGTCTTATAGGCAATTAAATCATTATTTATTTAATAATTTAATAATAATTTGCTAGAACACGATCCACAGCTTTTAATACATATGTTCAAAAATTTGGATCAGGAATTTTATTAACTAACAATTTTCCAACTAGTTATTCCGTCATTTTCACCTGTAGAACGCGGTATTTGTACAAGAAAAACAAAAGAATGCTTTGCATTGTATTTATTGATGCAGTTTCAAATCACACTTAGAAAAAATCATAAATTATTAACCAACAACACCCTGATGACTGTAACAGTGCACTACTACTCAGTCTCTTTCTGATAATCTAGAACTATTTCCCCACACTCAAACCTCTTCCTCAAACACTCCAAAACAAACTCCTGGATCTTCTCCACGTCTTCACTGGGTGTATAATCATCTTCAGTAGACCTTGAAACGGTCACAATCACCGGTTCAACCTTCAATCCCTCCACAAAACCGCGAAATCTCTCAAACATCACCGTTAACTCCTCTTCACTAGACACATGGTGGGGAAGTTCGGTATCATCACAAGTGCATCCAGCATCATGTACCAACTCCCAGTCGATTTCCTCCTCTTTATAATTTTTTAGTAAGCAATCTCTTAACTCCCTCACCCCACAAGGAACCTCCTCAGGTAAAGTTTTATGTTCCTGCAAGTGCTTAAAAACGGCTTCCAACTCACCCATTTGTTTCTCGCGACTTTGTACGCATTCAAAAATATCTCCCTTATTTTTTGGTTGCTGAAATTTGTAGATTTCTTTCAAGTGGGTGTAAGTATTACTCTTGCTGTAGATTTCTTTGAACGGATTGCTCGTACTGAAAAAATCCAGATCGATATCTAAAATATACGGTTGTTCTATTTTTGTCAAAACCCGTCTATCGAAATCCTCCCCGAGGGTGACAACCCCTAGAAAAACTTCTTTCGTTTTTGTTAAATCCTCACTTCTGGTCACCAAACACTCAGAAATGAAATAATTCTCTTTACAATCGACTCGAATGTGTCCGTTTTTATTAGCACCGATTCGAAAAGTTTGACAACTGTCTTCCATCTGTTTCGCCCATGGTGGTTTAATCCACCACAGACTTTTAAAATGGCCGGCGTAAGTTCCCGGTAGCATCCAATTTTCGATACTTATCTCTTCAAACAATTTTTCTTTTTCGTAGACGTAACTTTCGGGCATGTTTTTCGGGATTAACATGTCTGGATGTGAGTCGAAGTGCACTATCGTGGTACCTTCGAGTGGTAAATATTTGGAACCGATGTTCCTGTAGATATGAGGAAGAACTTCATTATGGTACTCCACTACGTAAATTGGTAGTTTTCGGTGTTTTTTGAGCTGAGAACCTGTTGACCAAAAAGGGCACATTTACACTCACGCACAAAATGAGCACACACACTACAAAATATAAAAGGCGGCACTTTTACGCGATTTCCTATTGCGCAAGTAGTCACGTGGTGAGGTGGTACCTTAAAATTGTTTGTAAAGTTCTCTGGTGGACATGTGGTACAGGTACTTTTTAAAATTAAATAAACTCACCAGTCGTTGCTTCCATTTTTTTAAATTGTCTACAACCACACGCTATTCAATGCGACTATTATTGTTTAAAGCACTTTCTTTAACACAAACCACGGTCAATACTATCCAAGTTTTACCTCTCTAGAATGACATCATTGTCGACGTAATTCTGATACACATGCCAATATTTGAATAAAAGTGATAACAACGAGGAAGTGGGATGACTTCATTGGCGGATATATCAGTTGTTACCGGCATAAATTATTGATAGTGGGTAAGTTCATGGTGCTTGTCACGTAATGGAAATGTGAAATATGAAATTTAATTGCATATAATAATGCATGCGAACTTTAACAAATTCTGTTGGCAACACAAATCACAGCCGTGTATATGGAGTTGTATAACTCGTAGTTAAAATATTCAAGTGTTTGCAGCTTTTACTATTATTAATTAATTAGATCATGAGGCGGTTGTTGCTTTTGTTCTTTACCAACTTGGCAACAGCTTAGAAGCTTCAAAATTAATATTCATCAACACTTGTTGTTTAGCAAAAAAAAAAAAAATACGATTTTCAACGGAACTTTTAACAGCAATTTACAATTAATTCATGACAAGAATTACATTTTTTTTAATAAATAAATTTAAAGTAATTTCTTGTAAAAGTTAGGTTAATTAAAATAATTACAGATAATGTCCATTACATGTGAGATTATTACAAATCCTAAAATACTAAAAAAATGATGTAAACAGAAAAATATAGAAACGACTTCTATAAATAAGTCTACAATGACTAATGAGTAATTACATGTTTCCTCGACGCTTCATAGCTGTAAGAATACGAAAAAGTAGGTTCATCTTTTCGTCTGTCTGGGTTGACCATGTCATCTCAAAATTTTGCACAATAAATCAATTTAAAATATGTGACTATTTTATGTTGCGATTTTTAACCTTTGTAGATTTTTGATAAAAAAATTCAAAGTTCAAACTACAAAATTTATTGCACTGAAATTTTGCGCATGCTTTAGGGATATTGTGAATATGGTAATATTTACGTTAATCAGGATTCATTTGTGGATTTCTTTCAACAATTTGAAAATTTCATCTCAAAATTTTGTTAAATAAATCTCACTTGAAATTTATAATGTGGCATGTATACGACATCTACGAAATTAATAGTTTTATGATTGCTGCTTTTCCAAAACCCTCGTTTGCGAAAAAAGAGGCGATCCTGTTATTACAAGCCTGCCGGCCAAACAGAATAAAGAGCCGCTACCAAGTATTGGGTGGCCTCTAATAAGCTGGATAGTTCATTGACAAGGGTGGCGAAGGAGTCACCAGTATTTTTGTAGATGGCCTATACTGGCTATATGTAATTTTATAATGTACTTAATCATATAAAAAATAAATCAAATTCGTGAAAGTAGTTTTATCTTAGAACATACAACATATTTTTACTTCGGCAAGATATAGTTAAATATTGATTTGATGATTAGGAAACAACGATTGAAATTTATTTAGTTATCCCCAATTGAAATTTAATTTACATGATCCATTTTTATAATTTGTTTCTGAGAACGTGCGAACAAATTGAAATTTATTTAAACCACATAACCAACAGGGAAAAATGTATTATCAGTACAAGCCTAACTTCGATTGTTTATATATAAGTACATATTATGGATCGAAAGAATGCGAATATTAAGCACATAGCAACCTGCCTGATTTGAATGATTTTGTCTCCTCAAAACAGCGCAGACGACTAAAATTATTAAATTAAAGTTACAGTGGGGCAAAACATTAACATTACAGTAACATTAGTTTGTCATATTTTCGAGGAAGTGGGGTGAACCGTTCTTCCTTTGATCAATAAAAAGAACTATGACCTACGAATCAATCGAATCAGCGACTTTCGCGAAACATTTTCACGGCACGACCACCGAGTTTTACCAAACGTCAGTGCTCTTACACTGGCAGAAAACGTGATGATAACATTTGGATTTTTCTGCGAAGATGTGGATACTAGGGTAAAATATCAAGGCGGATTCATACACAACCAGTACAGGAGGATGTTACTTTATAAAATTTACATGGCGTTTACTAAAAAAAAAATTGAAGAAACGTCACCAAATTGTTGGTGGTAAAGTAGAGCAGTTGATTTATAGAACCTTTGTTCCCTGAAACAAACAGTTGGGACGGGACGTCATGGCTGTAAATTGTCATTACCATAATCCTAATAATTTTCACCATTTGGCAGACTCTACTTTAGCGACCATTCCAAGAAAATTCTGTTATCAAACCTAGTGTAAATTTCGCTATTTGTAATTTTTGAATTTAAAAATAGCTTGTAAATTGTTTCATATTTTTATAAAAATTTTACAAGAGAAAGGACGATTCTTCAGGTCGTTAGATGTTGAAAAAGATCAATTTTTGCATCTTTTATGTTCAGTCGAATTTTTAAAATTAAAACCTAGAAGTTATAGCGCTGATGCCATTACTCAATTAAATATTTCACAGAAAATGTATTACTCCATTATTTTTAAGTATTTAGTATGCTCTCTGATGTGTTTTTCTGTACCAAGAAAATTTTAAAACCTTTAAAACTTAAATTATGACCATTTCAATCATACCATCAAAGGAGGAAGTCTTGAAATATTTTTTAATTTAATTACTGTGTATAATTTTAAAGCAAAATTTACTTAACAATACTTTAAAATGACGCCATTAAATTTTTGAAAGCAATTAGAATCATACTCTGTTTAAAAAAAAAGTTTTAAACTTTTCCGTTTTTTAAGAACAAAAAAAAACATAAACAGATAAGTTCAGGATAGAAACAACTCTTTCAAACTAAAAACACATTATTAAAATTGATCTAAGATTATTCAGTCAGAACTTCCTTCGCCCCTCAAGTACAGTACAACTTTTAAATACAACGTCTGTAAGATGTAAAACAAATCAACGCGGATTCATAAATCACAAGTACAGTTATAAAATTTAAATAGTATTTTTCACGCACAATGGAGAACTCACGCATCAAGTTGTTGATGGGGATGATTATATGCAAATTTTAGTTAGCGTTCTACCATCTACACGATGTTCCTAACATATATTTAAAATTTGACAACAATTGGTCCAGTAGTTTCGGAGGTTATCCATTTAATATCAATCGACAGGGACAACAGACGGCAGACAGACAAATGGAAACGGGGAACGATTGTTTCATACTCTAGGGATCATGAAAAGTCGAGAAAATATGAAATTAGCCATTCGCCCGATGGACCCTATACGAACTTCCTTAGTTTATGGTCGAGACATAAAAATCCGAAAATAGATGTACAGGTTGAGTAACTAAGCGCGCGATCCTCAATAACTCATTAATTACAGTATAACCTCTATAATCCGAATCCGATATGAGATTATCGAATATCCAGTAATCCCAACAGAGGCTAGTTGAAGTAGAAGTCTCTTTAATCCGAACAAAAACTCTGCAATCCGAACTGAACTTGAAAACATACACCGACATGCAAAAATGACGCAAGATCTTCTGCACGTGTTGTATTGAATTTTTAGAAATTTTTAAAAATTGCGATATTTCAATGGACGATTCTGGAAAAACGGTTGGAGTTATCGAAAAAGTGAGACAGGAAGTGACTTCTGCTGCACTGAGAAATGTATTTATTCCGACAATCGTCGAGAATGGGTCGACATTTACAAAAGTGTGGAAAGTTTCATTTTTGAAAAAGTCGTCTGGTTACAAGAATATAGCGTGTTTATGGTAACGGAGCAATATTTTCGGAAAATTCGGACTGAAATTCGAATTTTTCGAAATTTTGTAAAATTGCGATATTTCAAAGGGCGATTCTGGAAAAATGTATTTAGTTAAATTTCGAAAATCATAGAAAATGGTTACAGATCCCGACGTGCTGATTCCAAAAATATAGCGTGTAATGTATTTTTTTAATGTATCTATTATTGTTACTTAAGAATACTTTATTTTTGTTTAATAAAATTAGTTTGTTTTCAGCAATATATGAAGTTGTTATTCAATTCCCTTTCAGATTTTTGGGAAATTCGCCGATCCGAACAAATGGCTGATCCGAACACACCTTTTCCCCAATCAATTCGGATAATTTAGGTTATACTGTTATTATTAGAGGAAAAAAAGTCAAAGACCAAAGTTGTACAGTTCCTTTCAAATTATTTTTAATTTTAATTAAACATAATGTTCTGTTTTTAAGACGTAACACACAACTTAATTTTTTTTAATGAAACACCCTATATATTTTTACATATTTTGATTGACCTCTTCTTAGGTTTTACAACGACAATTTACTTTTGCAATTCCAATGCGATGTTAATCCAATTTCATTGAATTTTTTTGGCAATGGAAGGATTCACCAAAAAAAATCACAATAGGGTGGAAGGATAAATAAAAGGTACCCGTTTTGTTATAATACCAATTACATCAAATTTTAATACACAGAGTGTTTATAAAAATTCTAAAATTTTACAATTTTCCGATCAATTTTCAAATATCGATGTTTCAATTTTGTCAAATGGATCACCTGTATTTTATTACTCTATCTTGCTCTATTTTTTCTCCTCATTCTTTTAATATGTCGATGTGTCTCTTAAAAAAGTAAAAAAATCACAATAACTATCAACTTTACATATAGCATTACTCAGCAAAAAATACAGTGAAACAAAAAATAGAATAAGATGCAGTACAAAAATATAGGACGTTCTATTTGAAAAAACTGAAATATCGATATTTGAAAATCGTAATAATTAAAACAATTTAAATTTTATAACACTCGCTATATGAAAATTTAATCTCATTGATGGCACAAGAAAACGCGTACCTTTCTTTATCTTTCCACAAAATATTGTAGGACAGGCTTTAAAAATAACCCTAATGAGATTTTTTATGAAACCTTCCATTGCAAAAAAAAATGATCGAAAGTTGTTTCGACAGAACTTCTCTCGCTCCTGAAATACAATGATTTTTTTTGAGTCACCCTGTATACGCAAATCCAAAAAATATTAATGGAATCATAAATCACAAATACAGACTCATCATATTTTGTATATTTTAGATAGGATTAATTCAGCAAAATTTTGGGGTGACCTCATCAATTTTTTAGGGGGGATGAGCAAATTTTTTGATCAAAAATTTACCATGCTTATGACAACTTTAGAACATCTTCAAGATTTCAAAGCATTCGGTTTTGTAGTTTCTGATTAAACGAATAAAATAAATGTACGCATTAATTAATTTTTTTGAGTCATCCTGTATATGCAAATCCAAAAAATATTAACGGAATGATAAATTACAAGTACAGACTCATTTGTACATTTTAGATAGGATTTATTCGGCAAACTTAAGCAAATATACTTTGACTAAAAATTTATTATGCTCTTTATGACCTTAAAACATATGCAAGATTTCAAAGCATTCGGTTTAGCAGAATTAAAATTAAATGTTGTTTTATAATTTTGATTTTTTTTCGAAAAATCTGGATGTTTCGGGTAAAAACTCAATTCGGAGTCATAAACTACATGTGTAGGACTATGTTATTTTATGCAATTTAAAATCCATTTACTATGTACAATTTTGAAGCGACGTCATCTCAGTAGTGGTGGGGATGATTAGACAAATTTTGGTTAGCGTTTTACCATCTACATGATATTCCTAATATAAATACAAAATTTCACAACAATCGGTCCAGTACTTTCGGAAATTATCTGTCTAATAAAAATCCGGACAGGCAGAGAGACACGACGGAAACGGGAGACCTATTTCTTCATCTTGTAGGGGTCATGAAAGGTCGGGAAAACGTAAAAGTAGAGAGTCGACCGACGGACTCGATTACAATACTTCCTTCGCTTACGCTCGGGAAGTAAAAATCAAGAAAATTGGAATAACCAATTCACGCATTAGAATTTCGAAAGTAAACTGTGGTTGTAAAGCCTAAGGAGAGGTCAATCAAAATACGTGAAAAATATTTCATAAAAAAAGAACTAAATTGTGTGTTACGCCTTAAAAACAGAACACTTTGTATGGATAAAACAATTTTAAAGTATAGTGCTCAAAGAACTTTTTCTTGTATTTCTAATAACAATTAACGAGATATCGAAAACCGCGCGCTTAGTGACTCACCCTTTATATGTGTATGCAATAACTTCACAGTGCAATTTATTATTGTTTCACTATTTTTAAATTACTTTATTAATAATTGAAAGTAAACTAAAAAGGAGTCTTCATATACATATTTTATTCTGCTGTAATAACGAAGTAATCTGCAATTTTAAAATGAAATATTAATAACAATATTTTCTGATAAAAGAGTATGTCATATTAAATTTTACGAAGTATATTTAGAATAAAGTCTAAAAGAGGTGGGATTTTAATAATCGTTATTGTTATTGATCTCCCTCCAAATTTCAGAAATTCACGTCGACTTCTGACGTCTAATTTTAATCGTCTTTATATTTAAATATTACACTTGCTCACACAACACCAATTCAAAACCCGAAAACTTTACGATATTGACATCTATTAATACCCCAGTTCTGTGTTTTGAGTGTTTTATGACGAGCATCAAAAACAGAAATCTGAACCATTTCCGATCAATCATGTTTAAAAAAATCATTTTTATATCATTATTGCCGTCATCAGCGCACCAATAAACAAACCAATCAGGTGGGTCGTAAAAACACGATGATAAAAACGTGAAAATTGGAAAATTTGCGTCTTCCATCAATTCTAACGACGGGAAGTCTATGATGAAAATGACCTCATCATACTGCTTGCAGCTGTCCGTATCCTATTATCAAAACATGTGCATCATTTTATAACGGGCAAATTGCAGCAGACCGAATGACCCCACACGAGCCTTTTTGTTTTGTAATGAAATCGTTTTAGACAGACAGTTGGACAGGTGCCATCACTGGAATAATCTCCGTGGAGACAATAGATTAAATCGAAAAAATATCACAATAACCGCAAATCGAAAACCAAAAAATTGATAAAATTTCACGTGCAACTAACGTGTAAAAACTTACATCCAGGTGACGTTCCATTTTTCAAAGTGCACTGGTAGGGGTGTAAAGTCCCCGGCACGATTTTCCCATACATCGTTCGATCCATACTGGTTAAAAATAAGCGCCAAATTCAAACGACTGTCACAGCGAGTGTACACGATCACGTGGTCGTCGCGACACAACCGAAAACATTAAGAAAACTCGCGGACATATCTGTGATTATTTTTATTTTCCATTTTAATTTTATTTACAAATGTTTTTTGGCGCGTGCGCCGAGTCAAAATTAGATGCTGCCCACAATAATAATGAGATGGAAGAACTGCCAGAAGTCGAGAGTACGACCAGCGCCCGAAAAAAAAGAAAACACTCGAAACAATCGAGATTAGTTACGCCCACCTCGATACAAAATTACAATTGCCACTTTTCGCGATTTTTGACGAGAACTGTCAAAGCGCCGACGCCTGCTTGACTGCCGCGGTCACTTTTCGCCGACCATCGTACACTACAAATTAATTGAGAAGTTTATGTGTGTTTAAATTTTTAAGGGTACTTTATTGGGGGGCCGATATAAGGTGATAGGTTATGTGCGCAATTTTCGCGTGTTTCCACTACAAATAAGATGATGTAATGTGTAAACACAACTGTTTTTTGCGAGAGATTAGCAAATTTCAAGGTCCCATCTCGGGACGAAATGGGTTCAACTTTCTTGTTTTGCCTTAAATGGGTGTGCATTTAATTTATGTTTCATAACGAGGTCGCATATGGCAGTAAGGTTACGTTACAAAATCTGGATGATACGAAGGAAATGACAGATGCATTTTTTAACAGAACACAAACTGCTTTCGCACCAGTAGTAAAAGCAATTCTGACAATTATTTGCTTCTTCAAAAATTAAAAATGCCTATCAATAAAAAAAAAGTAGGATATAATTTAATACGACTTGATATGTACGAGTATATATTATCATACCGTAATAACAGCGATCCTACTAACGTACAATAACAATAATTGGGCGATTCTGTTATAGTTTCAAATTTTTGCTGTCGTTTTGCCGATTCTTTAACGAAGAACCGACGTCCACATTACTAATTAAATTCCGAATTTAAAAGTAATGATTTTAAAAATAGCTTTTTAAATATTCTGCGATAGTAAATTCCATTGTCGGTTGCGCGCGCATTGTTACAATACTGCTTCTTAAGTGGCTACTGATAAGTGTGTTTTATAGAGTACGGTTCTAAAAAGTAAAAGTAAATTAGGCACAATACTCGTAGTAATGGTCAACGAAAGTGTTTTTTCTTATATTCTAGTACGCCTACTATATATACCTTTTATTTTGTAAAGAGCTATTCTGGACCTTTTGTTTCCGTTGTCTCTTAAATAAGCAATTACTTTATTAATCTCTTTGGAATGCGCTGCTCGATGAATAATTGCTTTTCTATATTGACTGCAACTATAGGTATTACCTAATAAATTGATGTTGGATAAAAAATTTGTTTTGTAATCGAATGTATACAGGGTATTTTCGAAATAGATGGAAACTTTTTTTAAGGTAATTGGTCATGATGTAGAGAATTTATGCATCAAATATTGATCTAATAAAAATCCTTTAGTCTTCGAGATAAAATTGATTGAAAATCTGTTAAAATTTGCGTGTGCGCTACTGATTCCAAAAATGTTAAAAGTAAATTTGATCGCTATAGTAATTTAAAGTAGGTAAAATTGTTGCTTGTTAACATGACAATACATTCATTAGCCCATCATTTTTTGACGTTTTTGCAATTTTTGGAAGAACAAAATGAATTTTTCTAATTCTGAAATGACTGACATGGTTCCGATGTATGGACAAGCCTTAAGAAACTCCTTGGAAGCTCGACGTTTATACCAAGAAGCATTTCCCGAACGAAGATTGCCAAATCATAAAACATTTGCTAACGTTGTTCAGCGTCTACGAGAAAATGGGAAATTTCAACCTCGTTTTAGTGATCGTGGTCGTGAAAGGACAGAACGGACACTTGATGCCGAAGAAGAAATTTTGAATGTCGTTGAAAACGATCCAGGTATAAGCATTAGACGATTGTCTTACCGAGTGGGAGTTTCATTTGAATGCGTGCGACTTCTTTTTATGGGGTCACATGAAAGAGTTGGTTTACCGAACACCAGTAAATTCTGTTGAGGAACTTTGGGACAGAATAACAAATGTAGCTGCTGAAATTAGAGCACATCCCGAAATGATAACCAGAACCCAACAATCATTGATTAGACGTGCGGAAGCGTGTATACGAAATGGTGGTGGACATTTTGAAAACTTGCTCTAGTTGCATACGTTACGTTTTGTTTCATTTTATGGTTGATTAAATTATGATTTTGAAGTTTTAATTGTCAGTTCATTAATTATTGTCATTGTTTATTTGTTGCTAGCAATAAATTAATAGCAACAGTAGTTACACCTCGGCAGTTTTCAGTTACTAGGTTTCACATTTTTTCGTGAAACCATTATTTATCAGTGGAGGAATGAATGTTTGGATAGGGGTTAAATTTTCCTTTCAAAATTTTACTAAAACAACAAACGTTCATTTGACTTCTTAGGTTCCCTAGATTCACCAGATTTTTTGTTTCCATGTATTTCCATAACACCCTGTATATATATTTTATGTCTTAATATTGACGTGGCAATAAACAGCATCTAAAAAAATAAATAGAAATGCAGGCCTCACATTAAAATAAAATCTTCATTTCCGGTAACATTTGAAGTTTTGCGACAATTCTATTAAAACCACAATTTCAGTAATTCATATTATAAAAGTTATTACGGACTATGATCCCGGTTGCGGTTACATACTTATAAACAAATTTGAAATAAAGTGAATTCCCCGTTTCAGATTTTTTTTAAATCACAACGTAATTTTAATTGATACCTAGAAAAATCAAAACATTAAGAATATAATACGAAAGAAACGTACTGACTCATATAACATAAATTAGTTTTATTGTTGTTTAAATAAAAATAGCCTTTTGTACAACTGCCAAAAATGTAACTTTTTCGTGGTAGTATTTATTTGTTAAACAATATAACTTCTTTAACGATGACTCTTATTTTATTAATGTACCATAAAGCACTGAACGAAAGTTCGGCAAAGTGAATTTATACCATTCATTTAAATTCGGCAATCAGTGTATTTTATAATAAAAATTGGTCTAAGGTTATTTAGCTTCCTTTGCCCCTGAAGTATAATATAACTTGTCCAATTTTTTCGAAAATTTATAAAATTTGATTTTGGATTTTTTTTATAACTCCTGCAAGTTAAAATAAAAATGTGTGTTATGTACTAAAGTAAAGAAGCAAATTTTGTGATAACGTCATCAACATTCTAGCAAAGATACGTATATCAATTTGGATAAATAAAGTGTAACACTAACAATAACACTATAAAGAGTATAGTATAAATACTGTATTCCCGAATTGTGTGGAAAATCGGTCACTCACAACAACCATACAGATCGAAATATCAAAGCAAACCATAGATTGTTAACCGCTCCTCTGCTATCGAGAACTCTATTTCGTGTTGATACAAGAGTAGTATTCTAAGAAACCATAAACTCAGAACAGGAAGCGAACACGAACGTTGACAATTCACGATTGTTTCTACTTGTTTGATAATTTGCCTAATATTTTAAATGTAAAAAAATATTTCTTAGCATTTTGGAACTAAAGAAAAAACGAGATTTTCTTAAAACAAAAAATTGGTCCATCGAACCTCAAACTCTTCAGATACAAAGACAACGGGCTGTTATTGAGCCATGGTCCATGTTTCGTATGGCTGGTATTATGTTTTTAATGACCGACTTTAGTACGAAAAATATTGAATAATATAAATTATAGCAATAACAAACAAAATCAGGGCATATTCATAAACTACAAGTATAGGAGTATCTCATTTTATAAAATTTAGATAACCTTAACTACGCAAAAGATGAGGAGACATTATCAAATTGTTGGTTAGAGTTTTAACGGAAAATATCTGTGCAAGAAAAATCGTCACAGATGACAGAAAAACGGAAACGTAAGACCTACTTTTCCGTACTCTAGGGGTCTTGAAACGTAGAGAAGACATGAAAGTAATTCATTTTCTTCCATAAATTACAAAACCCTATAAATTGGTAAAAATAGAAGTAGATTACTAAATTACAGGTAACAAGCATGCTATGTTTTAATAAGATTTTCTTAATAAAATTAATGAATAAGTTAATTTATTTTATTGATTAAATCAGGAACGGCTTACTCCATTTGTCCTAGAAAATTTTGGAAATATGTACAATACTGTTATTTTTAGTATTACACTGTACCGGTCCATGTTGATATACTTGTCCTTGCAAAAATATTGATGACGTCATCACAAAATTGCGTAAAGAAAACACTCAACTCTAAAATTCTGAATATGTTTCATTGTATTTCAGGAGCGAGGGAAGTTCTGTCGAAACAACTTTCGACCGATTTTTTTATGGTTATATTCCTTGGTTCAAAGTCAAGAACAAACTTAAGGAAAATTGTGTGTAGGTACCACAAATAAAAATTTAAGTATAAAAAATTGATTTATCAATATTTGCCAGGTTATCTATTTTGTGGAATAGATAAATAGTAATAATCTTGAAATAAATATAAAATATTCCGATAATCGGATAGTTTTGAAGATAATCCATAGGGTAAACATAAACCTTTATTTAATATTTTAAGAAGCGTGAAACTGGGTTTTCTAGTACGTAATTATAATTACATTACTTATTTTAACTTTAGTTTACTTTATTATTATATATATTCTGTTCCAAAATTCGGTCATTTTACCAGTATTTTGGTTAGAGTTTTAACGGAAAATATCTGTGCAAGAAAAATCGTCACAGATGACAGAAAAACGGAAACGTAAGACCTACTTTTCCGTACTCTAGGGGTCTTGAAACGTAGAGAAGACATGAAAGATATTAATTTTCTTCCATAAATTACAAAACCCTCTAAATTCGTAAAAATAGAACTAGATTACTAAATTACAGGTAACAAGCATGCTATGTTTTAATAAGATTTTCTTAATAAAATTTAATGATGACGTCACCAATATTTTATTGTGTCAAATTTTACTGCATCTCATTTCCGACAAAAAAATCGACAATATTTTTCAGGTAACTTATAGAATTTTGTAAGCCGAACACAGTGGTGAAAACCGCGTTCCGAAACCTCCATAAATAATTGAGATATTGATTTTTAAATATGCGTGATGAAAAACATTTAATTAATGCTAAAAAGATGATGATAATAAAATAATTATAAAAAAGTGATCTTGCATTATACACACATTTAAAATTCCATAACAATAAATCTGTTAATAGTGGAGATATTACATTTTGAAAATCCCATGTGTCAAACGTCCGCTATCAATGTGTTTGAGAAATCGTAAAATATTGTTACACTTTTTTTTCAAAAAGTTATATGTGCAAACATATTTTACACATTTTTAATAGGATTTACTCGGCAAAATTTTGAAATGAGCGCATTACGTTTTTGGTGAGGAACGTGTTTTACCATCGACACAATAAACTCAAAAGAAAATTTACAACAATCTGTCCAGTAGTTCCGGAGATTACTTATCTAATAAAATCGCCAACAAGCAACTGACCATTATAAACGATAGACAAACGGAAACGGGAAACCGACTTTTTCATACTCTAGGAGTTATAAAATGTCAACAAAACATGAAATTATTTTTCGCTTACGCTCGGGAAGTATTGTAATCGAGTCTCTACTTTTACCTTTTTTTGACCTTTCACGACCACTAGAGTACGAAGAAATGGGTTTCCCATTTCCGTCTGTCTAACCAAAATTTGTCTAATCATCGCCATCAATAATTCGATGACGTCACTTCAAATTTGTACATAGTAAATAGGTTTTATTTAAATTGTATAAAGTAACATAGTCTTACACATATGGTTTATGACTCCGTGTTGAGTTTTTACCCGAAACGTCAAGATTTTTGGAAAAAAAAACACAATATTTTGCAATTTAATTTTCAATCTGCAAAATCGAATGTTTTAAAATCTTGCAGATGGTTTAAAGTTATGATGAGGATACTAAATTTGTAATCAATATATATTTGCTTATCCCCTCCAAAAAATTGATGACGTTAGCTCAAAATTTTGCCGAATAAATCCTATCTAAAATGTCCAAAATATGATAAGTCTATATTTGTGATTTATCGTTCCATTCAGATTTTTTTAATTTGCGTGAATTTATTTTACTGATCTAAACAGGAACTACAAAACCGAATGCTTGGAAATCTTGGAGATGTTTTAACGTTATCATAAGCATGGTAAATTTTTGATCAAAATATATTTCCTCATCCCCCCTCAAAAATTGATGACGTCACCTCAAAATATTGATGAATAAATCCTATCTAAAATGAGCAAAATATGGTCAGTCTATACTTGTAATTTATCATTGCTTTCATATTTTTTTAGATTTGCTTATACAGGGTTATCCAAAAAAATTAATGAATCAGTCAATTTATTTTACTGAATAAGTCAAGAATTGCAAAACTGAATACTTTGAAATCTTGCAGACGTTTTAAAGTTATTGTAAGCATGGTAAATTGTTAATCAAAATATATCTGTTTATTCCCCCCAAAAAATGGATGACGTCATCTCAAAATTTTGCCGAATAAATTCTACCCAAAATGTACAAAATATGATGAGTTTTTTAATTGTGATTTTTTTTCATTGCATTTATATTTTTATTAGATTTGCTTAAACAGGTGGCTCAAAAAAATTAATGAATAAGTCAATTTATTTTATTGATTAAATCAGGAACGGCTTACTCCATTTTCCTAGAAAATTTTGGAAATATGTACAATACTGTTATTTTTAGTATTACACTGTACCGATCCAAGTTGATATACTTGTCCTTGCAAAAATATTGATGACGTCATCACAAAATTGCGTAAAGAGAAAACTCACCTCTAAAATTCTAAATATGTTTCATTGTATTTCAGGAGCGAGGGAAGTTCTGTCGAAACAACTTTCGACCGATTTTTTTTATGGTTATATTCCTTGGTTCAAAGTCAAGAACAAACTTAAGGAAAATTGTGTGTAGTTACCACAAATAAAAATTTAAGTATAAAAAATTGATTTATCAATATTTGCCAGGTTATCTATTTTGTGGAATAGATAAATAGTAATAATCTTGAAATAAATATAAAATATTCCAATAATCGGATAGTTTTGAAGATAATCCATAGGGTAAACATAAACCTTTATTTAATACTTTAAGAAGCGTGAAACTGGGTTTTCTAGTACGTAATTATAATTACATTACTTATTTTAACTTTAGTTTACTTTATTATTATATATATTCTGTTCCAAAATTCGGTCATTTTACCATTATTTTACCCGAAATGTTGCATATTTTTTATTCACTTCTCAACCGCAAATAACCAGTGTTGTCCGACAGAGCATTTGTTGCGACTGTTGTTTTGATGTTGAATTATGTATTTAGTAGTAATAAGTAATTACAAAATTTTACATGAGTAATATGACTAGTGGACCACTTTCATAATCAACTTTCTAGGCGTATTATAAAATTTCCTTTATCAGCAAAATTACAATCACTTAAATGTAAATATTAGATGTGCCGTTACTTCATCAATGCAATTTGCAAAAGTGAAAGAATGTCACATTTTTATAAGCACATCAACGCTTAAGTAAACTTGACACATTTACATTAGAATAAATTTTAGTTGTCACATGTAGAAATTAAAAAAAAAATGTCTATTTTAATAACATAGCCAGTATTTTTAAACACTGAACAACACGCTACAAATTATAATTCACATAATCGCCGCAGCCAACTTACTGGTATGTAATTTAGTATTAGCACAACATGAACCTATAATTTTTACCATAGGTTTTCGCCTTTTTTATGAACATTTTCCCAATTTTATATAACCAATTCAGAGAAAACAACACAGAAATGTTTTCTTCTCTGTTTCACGCTAATGCTCGCAGCTCCCCAAATTATAGTGTAAAAAACACAAAATAGACATCTCTGATCTTAATGATACAGGAAGTACTTAAAATAGTCGGCGACATCCGAACTGAAACTCTTTAGTGAAGTTTTATAAAAAGATCCATTCATTACAGAAATAAATATCTACAAATCCGTAGCGAAATCGTAATAACTCAAACGAGTTTGTTGGAGAGCAGCCGAATTCCAATTCAATAATTTAAATTTTTATTTATCCTCCCAAAAACACCAGTTGAGCCCCTCTAAAAGTTAACTTTGATACTACGTGTCAGGTGCCACTTATCTCTAATAAATTACTCTTCTCCAGCAATTACTTAAGTTGAGTATATATCACGTGACAACCAAAGTTTTCCGATCACATTTTTTTTTCCAAGACGGCCATAAACCTGTTTGGAACCGCTGACTTGACCTCCCACTTTCACCCTTGCAAAATTTCGCAAAATTTCACAATTCCAACTCTTCAATTACTGTTTATCTCAAATTTCGCACAACGGTCGTACTTTTCTCATCATTCTTGTACGAATTTACCGACAACGCAACAAACAATTTTGAGGTTATTTACGCAAAGACAGGTGGTTGGATAAATCAAAACGGATTCTCACCTAAGTCATCCATGATAACGAGCTGCCAGTTGCACGAGTATTCTTTTCAGAATTTGCAAACTACATCACGAACTATCAACACTTTCGATAAATGCCCTTATTTAGGCATTTTCTCACAACCCACAAACGTCAAAGAGCGAAATTCCAGACGGCAGGGTAGACAACCTTCAAAGAAGTAAACAACGCGAGGAGTGGCTCTCAACAAGTTACAAGAGATAAAGTTGAGGAAAACGGAAATTAAAAAAAATCGAGCTATAGAGCTGCAGCGCTGTGATAACACTAGTTGATCTATCTGACCGTGAATATGTTGTATTCTTATCAGTTACAATAGCCCATAAAAGCGTCAAACGTAATGCGTTACTTTATTATAAGATGGAATTTTTGCATCGATAAGGATAAAAATAAAAATCGCTTAATTTAACACGAAATTGAAGGTCTTAGAAAATGAGCCTGAAATCTTTTTCATCTGATTGTTGATTGTTCTTCCTCTTTCTCTGAATTTCAGTGGGAACCATCTGTTTGGGGCAAGGGGAATACCAGTGTCTCACTGTTGTTAATTCACAACAATAATCGTGGTGAGGTCAAAAACGACTCACCGATCGCAGTACAGAACGTTATCATCTTCGGGGTTATAAAGAGTCAAACAAAATAAATCAAACCAGTTTTAATGCCACGGTCGTTGTACATGCATCAAAATGTATAAACTCGTTAGTATTTTAATCCTAACAACTGTTTATCAAAGTTTTGTTTTATCAGGTAGGAAATTAAAATACGTGACTGTAAATATAAATAATAATTGAAAATAGATTCCAGTTTACCTTCCGTTTGTCCCGATATTATCAGTAAGAAAAGGTGGGATGCACGCACTGCTTTAGAAGTGGATTATGTGATAATTCCTATTGATAATGTGGTGGTCCATCATACGGTAACACCCAGTTGCGATTATGAAGATGACTGTGCTTCTCTTTTGAGAAACATCCAAAATTTTCATATGGAAGAATTAGAATTTCATGACATTGGATACAAGTAAGAACTGATTTTACTTTCACTTTTTTTTTTAAATAACTTTTGTAGTTTTATGGTTGGTGGTGACGGCAGAATTTATGAAGGGGCAGGGTGGCATAAAGTGGGTGCCCACACCAGAGGCTACAACACTAGATCTCTAGGTTTGGCCTTCATTGGTAATTTTACAAGTGAGTATTAAACTAAGTAATTAGTTTTTATGTATTTTAATAATTTCGTTATTTTAGCACAACTTCCAAGTAAAAAACAACTACAGTGTGCAAAGGACTTCCTCAAATGTGGAGTGGTGCTTGGAGAGCTGAGCAAAGAATATAAACTTTTTGCGGCCCGTCAAGTCAGCAGCACGGCGAGTCCTGGCCTGAAATTGTATCGCGAGTTGCAAAATTGGCCCCACTTTACCAGCAGACCACCACCGAAGTGATTCCGATTGTTTATTTAACTTTTTTAACTTTCATAATAAAATTTTAAACCGAGTTGTGTTTTATTCAAACTTCGCGCGCTTGGAAGTTAAAAAACCCGCCACGATCTGTCAAAGTAGAAGCATTACGATCAACAACAACAAAAAAGTGCGGTTATGTTCTAGTAAAACTAAAAAGTCGAATTTTAAAGAAAATGCCTAACTGGAACCAAATTCAAGCTCAGTTGAGGCACCCTGCCAACCCCGTGGTCTTTTTCGACATTTCCGTTGGCACAACGGTACTCACTACATAAAATTTAACCAAAATACATTTGACTGTTTTAGGAAATTGGTCGAATGATTTTCGAACTTTTCGCAGACGCTGTTCCCAAAACCAGTGAGAATTTCCGCCAGTTTTGCACCGGAGAGTTCCGAAAGGATGGGGTTCCGTTGGGTTACAAAGGAGCTAGTTTTCATAGGGTTATCAAAGATTTTATGATTCAAGGAGGCGATTTTGTTAACGTAGGTGTTATTTTTGGTTTCGACAAGTTCTAAGAGGTGTTTTTAGGGTGATGGAACCGGCGTTATGAGTATTTACGGCGGGGGGACTTTTCCTGATGAGAACTTCAACTTGAAGCATGATGCTCCAGGACTTTTATCTATGGCGAATAGTGGGAAAGACACAAATGGGTGCCAGTTTTTTATAACTTGTGCCAAGTGTAATTTTCTGGATGGTAAACACGTGGTATTTGGGAGGGTCATTGATGGACTACTTGTTATGAGGAAAATTGAGAATGTACCGACGGGGCCCAATAACAAGCCGAAAATACCCGTGACGATTATACAGTGCGGGCAAATGTAGATATAAGCAGTAAAATATTTTTTAAGCAGAAGTTGTTTTATTTGAATTATTATGGTGTGAAGTGAAGGGTAGTGGTTGGTACAACTGCTTTAGTAATAAGTAGAAATGTCAAACGTCAAAAAGCAACCATAAATAAACGTTACAATGGAAAATAAAAAGATATCGTTTGGTTTTAGCAAAGTTAGTAAAAGAACTGAAATTTTATCGAAAGCACCGAAACCTGAAAAAAAAGTTGAGCTTATTGACTGTTTGGAGGGTCAGTCTATCAAAATTAAAGAGTAAGTTTGTCAATTGGGGTTATGTTTTACCTAATTTGAGAATTTTAGTGCCGTTGAAGAAACAAATGAACCGTTAATAATACCAATTCAGGGTTCGTCAAACAAGCTTTTAGACCAAGTGAAAAAAGCGAAAGAAAAACGCATTAAAGAGGAGGTGAAGGAGGAGGAAACAGTACCTGATTCCGAATTAACTTTGAATGAACTAGCAGCTAGAGAATTAATAAGGGGTAAACTAAAGTTTTTAATACATTTTGATAAAATTTTACAACAGCTGTCAGTGCTTGTTTAAAAAATTTCTGCTTTTTAATTTGATTTATGTGAAAGTTATGGCACAGTTCTTAAACTCACAACAAGGCGTACTGAAACAACGCAAAAAACATTACAAATTGGTGAAGTGAAATTGCATGAACTACAGTTGTATATTGTTAAGACATATTAAATCTTAAGAACATGCTCAGAACAGTTCACAAGGACCTAAACAACACCAGAAACAACACAAAAGTTCAAATATAGGAGACTCGCGTAAAACTGAAAATTATCAGAACAGCAATTTTAGTGAAAGTACACATTTTAAAATAAAATACCCCATAGAACACATTCTGCTGCATGTGGAGCGAGTTCTATAGTAAAAAATTCACCAATAAGGTGAGGCGCGATCTGACATGCCACGAGTTACGCTTGCGCGTGATGCTTTCGATTTTAATTGAATTTTTTTCTTGACATAACTACGCATTTGCATAAGAAACGAATGAATGGTTTGTGAACTGAGATTGTGTAGTTTGTGGGCATATAATTAATGTTTTGAAAAGCCCTAGACAGTTATTGTAAAAATGACTATTAATATTTATTACTACTTACGTTACAGAGGCACAAAATCGCGGTTCTGTCAACACTGACTCAAAAATTTTTGCTTTACCCTTAAAAGAAGAAAAATTCGTTGCAGAAGGTGCAGAAGAATCTTCACTTGAAGACTATGAACATGTACCCATTTCAGATTACGGGATGGCTATGTTACGGGGAATGAATTGGAAGGAGGGAATGCCTATTGGAAAGAGAACAAAAAAGTAATTCATTTTTAATTTCTTGTTTCTGGTTTGTTTACCAAAAAACACATGAACACAACACTATAATCACACCCGCAACATATCAATTTGCTTGTTGCTGGAAATATATGTTTGGGGAAAAAGTGTCTGTTGAATTGAAAAATATTCGTTTTTAATCTTTAAAATTTTTCAAGATGTCTAATATTAAAACATTTGGAAAAATATGTTTTAGCTAGGTACTAAAATAATTTCTTTCATTGAATATACACCTTTTGTTGTTTCACTACATTTATGAACAAATTTTGTATAAAAACGTGATGATCGTTATAGGAGTACCAAATTTTAATTTATACTTATTTTAAAATTTTTACTTCAGAACAGAAACTCTCAAATTACCCGAGCTGCGACCTAAAGGCTTAGGTCTTGGTGCTAACAAAATGGTAAACTCAAGTAAACCTTCCCAGGCTGTTGATAAAGATGGCAAAGAACTTCAGTTAGTGAAAGGAGCTTTCTGTAAAATTATTGCCGGAAATCACAGAGGTCACTACTGTGAAGTGCAAGGACTGGATGACGAAAATTGTCGAGCGATAGTCAAAACAGCTATCACAAACGAAATTTTAAGTTTAAACGAATTTTTGATCGTTCTTGTTAACAAAGAAGAGTTTGAAAAAAATTCTCGAGTAATAAGTGAGTTTTTTGTGTCAATGAAACATTTACTTGAAATTGTTCATTCTAGACAACGCCAAGTACGAGGAATATCAGGAAAAGTCACGTGGGGTAAACAAGAAAACGAGCGATGAGAAAGATAGGGATAGATCAAGGTCGCGCGATAAACGTAGCTGTAGTAACGAAAAAAGTAGCGGTAAGTCTCGAAAAAGACACAAAAAAAAGTCAAAGAAGAACAAACACAAGTATTCGTCAGATTCGGAAGATGAGAGAAGAAAACACAAAAAAAAGGGTAAATCGAAGCATGATAGCAGCGACAGTGACAGCGAACGCGAGTACAGAAGAAGAAGGAACAAAGATAGGAAATAATTTAAATTTTTAATAAATCTCATTTTTCCTATTGTTGTGTTTTCTTTTGGTAAATTCCCTTGTTAAAAAGTCGTAAAAAAATTGCGTGTACTATTCTCCCACTTAATATTAATGCATTAACAATAGGTGCGTTTGTCGCTATAAAACAGGTTTGCTTTAAAATAGATGCAGACGAGAGATTTGGCTGGAGGTACAACACGTTCCAACGTACTTCCCTGTGATTATTTTGATCGTGCGTTTGTGAAAGTGTGTTTTGATTTTTTCGAAAACGTTGAACTTTCGACGGAGGTGTGTACAAATTTTTATTTTTAAATTGATGACGGTAAGTTTCCGGAGTGCATTATCTTTTATCGGTTTCTCAAAAAAATAATAGACAAGAGGATAATAAAAGTAATTTATTAGTTATAATTTATTTACACTTAATTTTACTTATGTTACTTTTATCAGTCTCGTACGAAAGTCGATTTCGTGATGGATAGTGAAAATCGTCAAGAACAAAATTATTTAAGTAAGTTTATAGTGTTATTAGTTTCGATTTGATAATGGTGGCTGGATTCGTGCATGTGGCACACTATTTACACGGTTTGATTAATGTTGTTTACCGTACAGAATTTATTTTTTCAAAAGTCATCACAAAAAATGTACATATTAGTAACAAGTAGGTTATTGATTTTTACGCAGGCTAATTATCAGTTTTCATGTGCGATCTTAATCACAAGAATTTCATGGTTTTTTGTTGGTCATTTTACGTAAATTCGCTTTCTCGTCCCGTCTTGTTAGAAAGTATAAAACTTCGCATTCCCAAAATACTCGTATTTGTTTATACTTGACTATTGCATTTAGATAACAAATTTTGATTTTCTATTTTAATTAATACCTACCTGCAGTAGAGCTTAAAATCATATACAGTGTGTTTCATTAACAAATCAAGACAGTAGTTTTAAAACTTCCGATGTACAGGGTGAGTCAGCTAATTAATGGCATCAAACGGAGAATAACACTCTGTGCATACATAAATTTATGAAGAAACAGAAAAAATATACTTCTTGTTCAAGTTTTTTGATTTTGCAGGTTTTTTTGCTTCAAAAAATATAAAAAATAGCTCTATTAGCGTCACTATTTAATGGTCCAGATGGTCCCAACCACGTCCCAACTGCCCCTGCAATCAAAAGCTTCTAAAAAATATTTTTCACTTAGAAACGACACCATATTTTCAAATAAAATTTAAAACAAGGCTGCCTTATTTAAAAACAGAAACTATCTTAACTATTCATAGAAAACTTTATGACTCCTAGTTGCTAAAGTTGGTTTAGGAGTTTTAGGAACTAAATTTGGAATTGCGCTTTGGTGACCTAAACTGGGATCAATCGAATGCAAACCATATCTGATTCTAACTTCCATAACGTTTTCTCTGAACTGGCATTTTTTTAAATTAAATTTGTCAGAAAAATAATTTTATAGATTAGTTGGCATAAAATAACCTGTACGAGGAGGTATTGAAAAGTTTCTGGCCTCATAAGAAATGCTATTTCTTTCTCGTAAAGTAGTTCTACACCTTTAAGAAATTTCTTTTAGAGTTTGTAGTAGCTTTGGAAATGGATCATGGTTTGATTAAGAAGAATAATTTCCCGTCATAGTTTGTCCTTATTCTAAGTGCAATAAAATTATATCATCCTTCTCTTAAAAATGGTCACGAAGTGATTTCGAAGTGGCCATTCTGAGCCGTTTTTGATTTTCAAAAACAGCTAAGTTAATCACCAGCCGCTTTTGTTTTCCTGATGGAAATGCTCTTTATTAATATCCCCTCGTATATTGTTAGTAAAAACAAGAATACGAGTAGTAGCATGAGACAGAGAATGCAAAGGTAGTGAATTCTTTGTACATAGATAGGTACTACTAACCTTTTTACACGTGGTAAGCGATACTAGTGGCAATGGAATGCGGTAAGTTTTTTTTTGAATAAATGATAAATACACCCCTATATGTGGCTAAAGTTAGCTTAAAACTTGGATTTGGAATCATGTCTTGTTACCTTAACATAGACCAGTTTGAAGTAGACCCCGTGGGTAATAAATGTTTCACGCTTGAAATTAATGTATCTTACTGAAAAAATACTTCACTCGTGAATATCGAAAAAGCGAATCCAAATTCAAATCTGTGGCTAACTTCATTAATCTAAGGTATCATCGTTACGCATTATATATTTTTTTATTTTTGGATTATTTTTTGAAGTTTCAAAATAGGATTGCAGTTGTAATTTCATTTCTAAAATGAGTGAGTAACGATTTATTAAGAAAAGCGTAAAAAGTGATTTCACGACCTTGTTGTTTTACTATCGAACTTAACTTTCGTGATTCACATCCCCTACTTGATAAATGTTTCTACAGTGAAGTATCCTGTGTTCCAACAAATTTATACCTGTGAGGTGCTCTACCAATAAAAGCTACCCTGTTGGAATTTGTATTAACGTACGTGAGTCTTGCCATTCATTAATTTTAAATATTTTATAAAAAATTGTTTAGAACTTGTGATCACCTCAATAGAAAAAAATCCGAAATACTTATAACTTTTAATTTTTATTTCAAAAAAGTGGTCATTCGTTGGATGGACTCGATTCTAGAAGTCTAATTTAATGTTATTCTACTTAATCTTTTCTCACTACTGTTTATACAACATTTTGTGAAACAAGGCATTTGCTCAATTAATGATACTCCAATGATAGTTTATTCAATATTAGGCATCAATTTGCGAAAGTGTTACTACTTATAAATACCAATATAATCGGTTTGTAACTGGTTTCTTAAATAAACATTTACTAAGGCAAATAAAAATCTTCCAAATCAGCCAAGATCTTAGATTAGTAAAATAGCTACAATTTAAAACGTTCATTATTCGTTGGAACCTTTTGTAAAATGTTGCTTTTCAATAAAAAATTACATTAACATTGTGTCTAGCGGTTACGTTTAACAGACATTGTACCATTGAATTGGAATTAATGCCTCTGTTTTGTTACTGTTTTTGTTTAATGATGGCATTTAAACAGATTTTATTTTGTAATCTATATCTTGACAACTCTTCTAAGATCACTTACAATTTAATTAATAATAAAAAAACCTCCTCACTGCAACAAAAAACAAATAAGAAACATATAAATAGAAAAAAAAATACTTAAAAAAATTGGTCTAAAATTGTTGAGATAAAACTTTCCTCTCATATCTGAATCACAATACAGAAGTCGAGTTTCTTAGATGAATTAAAAAGTTGTATTTCCATCGGATAAATGACAATATAGTTTCATTTTTTCTCGACACTTCATGACCTTTAGGATATGAAAAAATAAGTTTCCCGTCTCTGTCTGCTGCCAGTCTGTGTCGATTTTTATTACATAAATAATTTCCAAAACTAGTGAACCGATTGTTGTCAAGTTATATATGTATTTTAGGAACACAATATAGATGGTAAATGCTAACTAAAATTTGTCCAACCATCCCCACCAGCAATTTAATGACGTCACCTTAACATTTTGCGTACTAAATAGTACTTACATACTTATTTAAATTATATAATAACATACTTGTGTAATTATGATTTATGAATTCGCCTTGATTTTTTATGAAATGATGTGCCACATATTTCAACACAATATCTGGCTTATGTACGGAAAAAGCACGCGTTGAACTGAGCTCTACTTCAGGAGTGAGGGAAGTTCTGCCTTAAACCATTTTTTTCCGATAACTCCTAACCTACATATTAAAATGAAAAATTGACTAGGTTAATAAACTACATACACAGATGTCCCAGTTAAAATTTCGCAACCTTGCATCATGAAAATGGATAGAGATATTGAAATTCTGTAAACATTATTTTAACTTGAAGGAAAAAACAAATTTTTGTTAGTTATATAGCAGGCTTAATTGGTTTAGTAGTTTATAAAATCAGTTGGACTTTTTTTTCAAAAATCTGCACTTGATGAAAAATAAAAAATTCGTCGCTTTCTATACTCAAAATGAAAAATTTTGTACTGTTGAAAACATTTTACCGGTTATCGGAATAATTGTTGTGTTTGTGTGACCATTGTCAACCTTGACGTATATTATAGTGCGTATAGTAATAGTAGTAATAGTAGTAGTAGTAGTAGTAGTAGTAGTAGTAGTAGTAGTAGTAAGTATTATACTGCATTTCTATTGGAATTATAACATGGTTGCTTTTTTATGTTTTTTTTTTATTTTGTTAACATGTAATTTTCTTACCTCTATTACGTTTTAAATATAGTTCTTTAGTTTTTGCATACTTTAAGTAAAGTGCAATTTACCTAATTTGATTGTGAGACTATTATTGACATTCATGTAACAGATTTTTTGTTGGTGTCCAAAGAAGTAGGTATAGTTACAAGACGAAGAGAATATATTCATAAAGTACAGGCAGAAACTAGATATGAAATAAAATAAAAAGTTTTTGATTTCTTCAACAAGCAGTGAATATATTTTGGACTTATATTTATATTTTAAATGACTGAAACTACCGTAGTGAAGTTTGGATATTTTTTCAAAAATTTTTAAATGGAAATGTTGTCCCCTGACTGAAACTTTCCATATATTTTTAGAGCACAGGAAATTTATGCACTGTACTTTCATTTATGAAAATTATCTTTTGAAGTTTTCAGTCTTCGTGACCCAATTTTAGCATATAAAAAAATACTAATAAATTTTCAAATCAAAATTTTCCAAAGACACAGTTCTTACAATTAATCTTCTATAATCAGTTTTATTTATAACCCCATTACCTAATTAAATTACCCACCCCGACACTTCCCTTTCTTAATATTTTACACCCTCAATCGATAGAATTATCGTGCAGCAGGTCGCCTTTTCGATCGATCCAAGCCCAAGCCAATACCACTATTTCAAAAAATAGCACCACCAATTCTCGAAAAGCTACCAAATTCAGACTTTTTCATTCCCTCGGCGCAAGGTATTAGCGCCCTACTCCGAATCAATATTCCCTCGCTGGAATCAGTTGAGTTTCATATCCTTTACAGACAAGTCTTGTCCTTCCTGCTTCGCATTTTCAATTGCAATCAAAAAGCCTGTACTATTTTGCGCTAAATTATTGTTTCGATTATTCACGAAGAAGCTCCAAAACGGCTAACACAACAAGATTTCGTTTACCATCTCTAAACGTCCAGCACGTGGAATGGAAGAAAAATCCCCACGATTTTCCGGTAAAAAATTGCGTGACTTTTTAATTAATGTGAACTGGCTCAATTGTCATAAAGGGATCAATGATTAAGTCTTTGGCTTGATATAAGAGAAATATTGATGTTAATTGAATAGTTTAGTGGTTCTTGAGTGCTGCAGCAGGATGTCGAACGATGGTATTTACCAACAGATAATAATATTTATATGTTGAAATGTTTGTGTTGTTTGCCCCAAAAGTCGAAAAATTTGCTTTGTAAATAGACGCTGTAATCAATATTTGGCTTTGCGTATCAGTGACATTAATTTCCCACGAAATGGCTTGATTGAGAGTGTAATAATGGCGAATACCAAGTTCAAGGTTTTGATGGGGCATTGAAACTTGATTGGCGTCATTTTGTCTAAAGTTCGTGTTTCTGTGGAAAACTCGCACACGAAATGAAAGAAAGACAGTTGTTCGGGTTAAATGGGTGTTTAAATAGGTTTTTGCATGACGATAACGATATTTTTGTCGAGATATAGATAACTTTGGCGTAGTTGGAACAAGCATAAAAATTTTAATATGAATATTATTACACTTGATTTTTGCGTTTAATATTAATTGTCAAAATTTTTTATTGGTGTTTAAACTGTAAAAGTTGTGTTTGAGCTAAACTAATGTTATTTCGTTACTTTATATATTTTTGTCTTAATGTCTTAAAATGTTTTTTGTTTTTCAAATTAAGGGAACTAGAATAATGTAGTTGTTATATTAGAGCACTTAGCTAAAGCTTGATCAAATAATTACGTAATAACCATTCCAAATCGATACAGCTAGACGTCAAATTGTGCTACGAAACAACTGTTTATACTTTTCGTCCGTTTTACGACATATAGGAAAAATCAAATATTATAATCATATTATGATAATCTCTAAATTGTTGTATATTGAAAACTGGCGGGAAATCACATGAAGTAAAAATTCAATTTAACCGTTGATGAATTATCAAATTTTCAGTTTACTTCTAGTGTTTTTATACACTTAGCAATTTCGTATGCATCAATTTTGAGTTTACGTGAATTAATACATGTAAGAGGTTATATAATTACAGAATTTTTATAAATATTATCTATAAATTGTCTGAACGTTTTACGCAATTTCACGTATCACCAAAATAATTTACAACGTGATATATTTTACTATAATTTATAGCACTTTTCTTCCCCCGGTATCTTTAATCTTTAATTCTTGAAAAACAATCTTCAATCTCATTTTTAAACGTCTGTCCTTAACAACGGAAGTGTTTTTGTAACAAAACATGCCATCAAAGACAGTCATCAATTTTTGAAAGTTTGTTGCATTTTCGATTCAAACTTTCAAATTGACAGTAAGACGAAAAGTATCTATTAAAGACAAATCTTCAAAAATCGATGGCTGTCTTCGATCGTGTTTTTTATTGCTCTCTCAGTACTGGAAAAAACGTTTATAGATTTATTATCACGCTTTCATATACAGGTTTACCTATTTTCATTTGATTTTTTTTTAAATATTAGCAAAAACTGTTCAAAAAAGCTTCAAGATTTATTTATTGGGATACCTTTATCTGTATAATTCCATAATTGAAAAATATATTGTCGGGATTTGTGTTGGTGTTGGTGAAGGTTTTATCAACACAGTTTTTAATCATAAATCGTTGTTAATCTGATTAGGAACTACAGTAAACTAATAGAATTAATAGGTATTTTCCTGTCGATAATAAATGATATAACATGGATGCATTTTGACTTGTTAAGACGTGTTCAAAATAATACAAATGAAGGCGTTTAGACGCTTATTTTATTTTAGTCTAGCTGATGTATGTCAAACTACGACGATAAATAATTTATGTGTTTTCATTAGTATATCACAAAAGTACGAGGCCACGTTGTGTAAAAATTAACGAAATACAAGCACTTTCAATTTTTTCGTGGTAAAATATATCTTCTGAAATATATATTCTTGCAAATACATATTTAACAACATTATTTTTGGATGTTTAGCTTTTAAAATAAGTATTTACATTTTTACGTAACCCAAAATTAATTTTAAGAAATTGTAAACATGTTTATAATGCTTTTATTGATTGGAAAAATTGGATCTCTGACAAAATTCAACAACAAGTAGAATCTTATTTAAAATCGTAACATTCAATGAATTTGAACAACTTTGCAGATTTAAGGACAACAACTGTTTGTTAATTCTTTTATGTTGTCAAAACATAAATATTTATAATATTACTTAATATGGGTTTCCTAGAAATTATTTGCAGTGTCATCAAAATTCAGCAAAAAAGAAACAACAATCTTTTTACAAAGATATTCGCTGTTGCAGTAGAATTAAAAAAATGTCAAGACTCAAATGAGAAAAAATACCTATTTTGTTAAAATTTTCAATGTCGGATACTTGTTTTCCTCAAACACATCCACAACTTTGGTCGCTCTACTCTTTTAAACGGGAATTAAAGCTTATTGGCTAGGCTGCCAAAGAAACTCGTAAATGATTTGATGAGTTAAGTCAAGATACAGTTTTAAGTAACTCTATTAACAACATGTGTTCATCTGTTGACAATAAATTAATTACTTTAGATTCCTTCGTATGTTATTCGAAAACATATAACTTAAATAGTGTACGTCCGGTTTTATTTAAAAAAATTATACAAAAATTGTTTTCCCGTTATAAATTGTTTACGAATGTAGCTTTTAAAAGTTTAATTGTTTTTAAATCCGAACAGACAATATGTTCAACAAACAGCATTATTTCATTTAAAGAGAATGGATAATTTCGTAAAATTACAAGTTACTCACGCCACAAAAATAACCACCATCATAAAATTATGGTACAATTAAAAAAAACCTGTTCACGTGGAAGTAGTTTTCACTTCGTATTTTCATGTTTACATTATTACGTGTAGTGTGGATGTTGTGCCAAGAAAAAAATCTAAGAGAATATTCTTCCGGACATTGATAAATAACTACTTTCTGAAACAATTTTCGTATTTTGCTGTAAAGAACAAAAAACGCTGGCGGTATTTGATGTAGTTTCTAAATTTGCTTTGTTTGATTCCTTTAAAAATACACTTTTAATTTTCCATTATTATCTATAAAGTCTGCACACAATTCATAAAAATGGTAACAAAAAGTTTCGGATTTTTCTGTAAAACACAGCACGATAAAGTTATCGGAGATATCCATCCGTTTTTGTGAAATTCCGTTGTTGCATTTTTAAACAAATATTTTCTTTTTGGACCCCTTAATGAAAAAACTAGTGTTGTTAAAGCAAAAGTTATTAATTCTCAAATTAAAAAAAAAAAAAAATAGAAATTATTAATATTTGTAAGATTTTGAAAGTTTAGAGTTTGTTAAAAGACGAATTTATGTTAAACAGAACCCCTATTAGGGAGGATGATATGTTATATGATAGTTAAGTACACAGAACTTTCCTCTCCCTTGAACCACAATTCATTAAACAAATTCAGTTTTTCAGAATAATTTTGGAAATAACCCTTTTTTTAAGTAAAATTATTTGAATAAATTTTGTGAAGACACCACAATTAACTGCTATGTCTTAAGATCTTGCATAAACAATTCTAAAAATTATTGATGCATAAATTAAGTCACACTTTAAATTTTAAGCGAAATTTGTTTAATACAATTTAAAATTTCTAATGATTTACCATAAGTATTCGTGACAATTTTCAAGTGTGTGTAAAATTTCAGAATAATCAGTTTCCAACTTTCAAAGTTAAGTTGCAAAATTTTTATTTTTTTTCCGAAAAGTTACATGCGGAAGGTTAAAGATAGGGATGGATTATTAATTATTATATAGGGTGCTGAAAAAATGGCGTACCAACTCTATGACACGTTGTTGAGAACTTATAGAACAGAGAAAAAATAATTAGAAAATTCTTGGGCTCAAATACAGAAAATATAGTCCTTCAAAATTTAATGTTTATTTTCAAATTTTACCATATTGTGAACTTAATCATGAACTTTTCAGGATCGTATATAAATTACAGCTGCAATTGCTTATGATTTTGCACATTTTGTACGATTTACTTAGCAAATTTTTGATGAAGGTGATTAGACAAATTGTCATAGCGATGGATCAGGCTAATAATAATTTCAAAGCATGTGCTAGATTTCACAACAGCTAGTTCAGTAGTTTCTAAGTTAAATTGTAAAATATTGTTGTACACTTCTGATTATGACAAATAATGACACAAGTGTTAATATTCTGCTCATTTTAAATAGGATTTATGCAACAAAATTTCGAAATTACGTCATCAAGTCAATTTGGGGGATAAATAGACAAATTTTGATCAGCGATTTACGATTTATGTGAACCATATCCTTAAAGTATCTGATATGAAAAATTAATATTTAACGTTCACACTGTACATATTTTAGAGATTATTGTAGATATTTTTTTCTGATTGACAGAGGTATTTAAATTCGGAAATATGATTCCTTGTAGACGAAAATTCATGACATTTGGTTTCCAGTATTAAATTATTAATATTTGAAAATATGTCATACAAAATCTGTACAATAATCTCTAAAAAAATTTAAAGGGTGGCATTTAATGCTGTCGACGAAAATAAATGAACGCAAAAAATTAATTTTGAAATTAAATCGCAGTATATTTAAAAATATTTGATTTGACGTATACATAATGTACATAATAAGACACAGGACAAGGTTTCCAAAACCACATATTGAAGCATATTATTTTATAAAATATTTTATAAAAATTTAAAAACGCTTAAATTTTCACGAAAATTTCATGAGTAGACAATTTTCACATTTTTTTCAATACCACGTGTTTCTTTTATTTGATACAATTCCTGCAACTTTTTTATTTTTAACTATAAACATATAGTTCTTTGAGTAAATTTGTATGATTTTAAAAGATCATTTTTGTGAATACAGACACGAGCGTCAATTTTTCAAGATACTAGATTGTCATCAATAAATATGAATTTTTCGTCTATTTTATTGAGTAACTTTTTCAGTATTGATTTTAGAACATTGATTGCCTTTGATTTTTTAGGAAAAATCAATATTTCCATTTATGAAAAAATATACCAAATGTTCCAAAAAAAAACGTCATTGGTTGCCATTACAGAGATCTTTTAAAATGATACAAATTTGATCAAAGAACTACAAGTTTATCTTTAAGAATAAAAAAACTGCAGGTGTTGTATCAAATAAAAGAGACACCCTGTATACAAGGTGAACAAAAAATTACGGATAAGCTCGATGGTACGTTGTTAAGAAGACTCTGAACAACTGCGAATTAACTTCATATATAATTCTGATTAGTTTTCATGCTTAATATTTTGATTATTCACAATTTAATAATAATTTGGTGGCATGCTATCCACAACGTCGTTTTTTACTCTTGACAGTTATCATTTTTGACAATCTTTATGGGAATTTTAGACTGTCAGTTCAATTCATATTAAAACATCTCAGAATTAAGAAGTTAAAATTTGGTTCAGGAATATTTTAAACCATTTTCCGAGTTTCTCAGAGCCTTCTTAACAACTTCGAGCTTATCCCTCATTTTTTGACCACCCTGTTTACATTTTACTAAACTTTTAGTCTTTCTAGCGCTAGGAAAAAATTTTCAGTCGTAATGCAAAATATATTTATATAGGAGTGGGTCACGAATTTCCTTTTTTGTTGAGTATTTGCTGTATCTAAAATTGAGAGTTTCTGGAATTTTTCACTTTTTTAGGAGACGTAGCAACATATCAAAAGAAAGAGACTAAAAAATGTAGTGAGATATTTGAAAATTGTAATAATTTAGATTTTTATTACAAACACTCTATATATTAAGATTCCATTTTATTGATCTCCTCAGATGCTAAAAAACGAATGCAAATTTTGTATGTTAAAAAATCAGGAAATTGGAATAACATAGCAACGTCGCAACGAAATTTTAAACATTGGTTGTGAAACGTCAAGAAGAGACCAATCAGAGGATATAAGGGTGTTAGATTAAAAAATAATAATAATAAGTTGTAAATTATGTCGCGAAAATAGAACACTCTGCATAGTTGAAAATATTTTAGTGTATGCTATTCAACGAACTCTATAAATTTAGTCCTTAACTTTTTTTATTGTCAATAATTAATGAGATATCGAGAAACGCGCTCATAGTGACTCACCCTGTATATAAAAAATATTGTTGTGGAGCTGGAGTTTTATCCTTAATTAAAAATATGCTCGCGTTATTAATTTTTATTAATAAAGATTTCAAAAATAACTATACTTAACAGTTAATTATTTTTAATTAAAGTGTAAATAATCTTTACGTAATCAATAAGTGTTCTCATGTGTCCATCGATCCCATAAATTTTTAATATCTGTCTCGTTAAACAATGATGCGTTTAATGTCTAAAATCAAGTTCAAGGTCTCGCCGGGGCAGTGAAATTTGCCCGACGTTGTTGTGTCTGAACTTCACGATTTTGGAACTTTTCAAAAACACACTCATCAGAGCATTCGCAAAACAACTAATAAACAAAAACACAAATAAAACTCAAATTCAAAAACAGAATTCTAAAGCCGCAATTCCGAAAAAACGGACGTAAATTCAATCAATTCAAAACAAAATAAAAAATTGTCAAACACGCGACTAAAGATGGCCCCGTGCCAAATCGCCATACATCATGCCAAAGACCAAATTTCCTCCAATCCCGCGCAATAAATAACCCGCATTCGTCCGAGTACAAGCAATCATGCTTCCAGATTATCTCTTCGCCCAAATGTCCCCCGAGAACGCCGCCAAAGTGGAATGCACCGAACCACCCCGCAAAAACCAAGAGCTGACAGGTGTGCGAAAATGGCTATCCGAGAACCTTCTTCTTCTCCTGACCTTGCTGGGGGTCGCCGTCGGCGCTATCATCGGTAAGTCCGATATCACCCAAAAAACTTATCGTTGAGTACTTTTTCCAAGAGTTCGTTAGTCGATCTCTAAAATGGAATCTACGAGCTGTGTTAAGTGTTCCTCCGAAAATCCTTTGCAAAAACCATGCTGCCTTTGCGGCACGGTGGTGTGTTTTCCGTGCGTTATGAAGAAAATCGTCGAGTGGAAGAGCGGATCGCTGAAGAACATCCCTAACTGGTGGTGCGAAAGCTGCTCGCAAGAAAACAAGGAAAACGTAGCCCCGAATGTGCCAGCAGAACCACGAAAGCCTGGAAAGTGTAAGAAATGTGGCCATCACCAACCTGTGGCAATGCAGTGTATTCGTTGCAATGCTGCAGCCTTTTATTTCTGCACTGCAGACGATTGCTGGGAATTTGAAACCTTCACCGAGTACGGAGGACCGAGATGGTTCTGTAGCAGGTGTTTGCCGTTCGGGAAATATCATTCTCGTAATAAGGGTACGAAGTACGTAGTACCCATATTAGGAGCTGCAAGAATCAAACATGCAGAATGGCTAGAATTACAGCGTACAAAATATTTTATGCGCACCGAGTACAGCTTTCAAGATCTAAAATTCCCTTCGCTTGATGCAGCTTCAGACGATGATTCTTCGTCTAGCGGTACAGACTCGTGGGAGGCGTTAGATGATACATTAGAAATGATAAATCTTTCTGGCAACAAAATCCTCGCAACACCAATGGATGAATTGACAGAACTTGCAACTGATGTGAGAAACTATTATGCAGCTGAAGCTACACCACACGAAATCGCTCAACGGAATCTATTTTCCCTGGAGCAGGTAGGGGAAATCATAGCAAAAATCAAAAAAGATAAACTTCCACAAGCTGCGAAAGCATTGACGAGAATTCCAAAAATTCAAAGTCCAATGGCTAGAACACCAAAGAAAGAAACTCCAGAAAAAAGAAAAAAAGATCACAACGCAGCTTCGCCGGAGGAAGTAGAACTATCCTTAATAAAAACGCCAGAAAAACAACGTGAAGAGAAAACAGAACCAAGCTCAGTATTGAAAGAAAATCATTCCCAAAATTCCCCAAAACCAAAAAAAACAACTCCCGAAAAACGAAAAAGCGATCAGTACCCGTTTTGGGTGAAGACACTAGTTAAAGATACTACAGAATCAGAATATGGAACTCTTGAAGAGAAAAAAGAAGCGAAGAACCCACAAGCAGCGAAGAAAACAACACCAAACTCAACACTCAAAGAAGATCAAGCTCAAACTTATGCAAACTCGAAAAGAAACACTCCTGAAAAGAGAAAAAGAGACGATATCGACCTTTGGATGCTGAAGCAACTTGAAAAAATAGATTCAAAAAATGACATTTCTAAAAAGAAAAACGAGTCGAAGATCGCACGCCCAGTGAAGAACGCACAACCAGTTTCAACACTGAAAGAAAATCAAGTTCAAAAGGATGCAAAACCGAAAAAACAAACTCCTGAAAAAAGAAAAATGGATGAAAAGTCACTTTTGATGGAACAATTACAGCAAAACGAGACGTTGTTAGTATTACAAGGTGTACCTCCTGCAAAGATAAACGAGGTCAAGAAGAAACTTTCAACACCGAAAAAAGATCAAGTTCAAACGTCTCCGAAGCCAAGAGAAGAAAGTCCCAAAATGACAAAACAAGAAGAGTGCTTACGTTGGGTGATAAAAAGAAACGAAGAGGAGCACGCACGTTGGGTGAGGAAGCAAAAGGACATGAAATCATTACATGAAACTCCTAAAGAGAAAAAAGAATCGGAGAACGCATTCTCAGTGAAAATGTCAGAGCCACTCTTAACACTGAACAAAGATCCAGTTCAAGAGTCTGCGAAACCAAAAGAAGAAACTCCCAAAAAAATAGATGAAAATGAAGGCACACTTTACACACTTTGGATGATTGAACAAATTGAAAATGCTCAGAAATCATTATTTCGAGACAAGAAATTTGCGGAGAACATACTCTCAATGAAGCCAACAGAATCAATCTCGGTACCGAAAAAAGATCAACTTCTACAGTCTCCAAAACCAAAAGAAGAAACTCCTGAAGAAAAAAATGAAGCGAAGAACGCACTCTCAGTGAAGACAACAGAATCAATCGTGGTGCCGAAAAAAGTTCAAGGTCAAGAATGTGCAATACCGAGAAAACAAACTCAAAAAAGAAAAAGAGAGGAAGACTCTGCTTTGACGCACGAACAACAAGATATGTTATTAGTATTACAAAATGCACCTTTTGGCAAGTTAATCGAGGGCTCAAAATCATCCTCAGTACCGAAAAAAGATCAACTCCCAGAGTCTACAAAACTGAAAGAAGAAACTTCCGAAAAGAAAAAAGATGAACACGCACTTCGATTGAAGAAGCAAATTCAAGAGGCGATGATGGAATCAATATATGAAACTCGTGAAGTGAAAAAAGAAGCGACGAACCTATTGCCGAAACAAGATCAAGTTCAAGAGTCTGCAGAACCAAAAGAAGAAACCTTTGAAAAGAAAAAAGAAGATGAACACGCACTTCGATTGAAGAAGCAAATTCAAGAGGCGATGATGGAATCAATATATGAAACTCGTGAAGTGAAAAAAGAAGCGACAAACCTATTGCCGAAACAAGATCAAGTTCAAGAGTCTGCAAAACTAAAAGAAGAAACCTTCGAAAAGAAAAAAGAAGATGAACACGCACTTCGATTGAAGAAGCAAATTCAAGAGGCGATGATGGAATCAATATATGAAACTCGTGAAGTGAAAAAAGAAGCGACGAACCTATTGCCGAAACAAGATCAAGTTCAAGAGTCTGCAAAACCAAAAGAAGAAACCTTCGAAAAGAAAAAAGAAGATGAACACGCACTTCGATTGAAGAAGCAAATTCAAGAGGCGATGATGGAATCAATATATGAAACTCCTGAAGTGAAAAAAGAGATGAAGAACGAACCTTCAACGAAGAAAACAGAATCGGTCTTGGTCCGGAGAGTTCAAGAGGATGAAAAATCAAACAAAGAAGCTTCCGAAAAGGGAAAAAAAGAAGAGGGCACACTTTTGGTGAAGAAACAAATTGAAGAGTCTGCCAAATGGGATGAAGTCAAGCTTGAAGAAAGGAAACAAAAGACGACTCCTATTTCAATCAAGGTCGTAGAGCAATTCTTAACAAAAGTTCGTCAAGATCTATTTCTAGAAAATGCACCGACAGTAAAGAAAGAAACTCCCGAAAAGAAAAAACAAGAAACGTTCCCCATGATACTGCAAAAAGTAGAACAATTCTTAACAAGTATGAGAAATTTTCAAGTTCCAGAAAATCCACTGCACCAATTATTAGAAAGACAGATGGCGAATCATAATGCTGCTACAGATAACGACGAAGAAAAATCTCCGGAGTGTCGTGAAGGGCAGAACGAAGTTCCTCAAGAGAGAAGAGAGCTTTTAGATCAGCTTCTTGACCGCTATCGGTACTCATATTTTCGAAAGTGGCTTAGACAAGATCCAACAGAAGAGAAGGAAGAGACCAAATCGGAAGTGCAGAAAAATGATGAGAAAAATATGGGTGAAAATAGCAAAGCCGACAAAGAGGGTACGAAAGTTGAAGCAGTACAGCAAGAAACTGGTAACGAGGATGGAGAGACAGCTGACAAAATCAACGAAGGTAATCCAGAAATTTCTAAAGATATATTCGGTTTCAAGTCCTTGCCTTATCTTTTAGCAAATGAAATAATTCCTGTGGAGAAAAACCCATTAGAAGACGCAGATGAAAAACTGAAAATTTTGAAAGAAACGCTTGTCGAGGTAGAAGCACGGAAGGATGAAATTCGTAGGGAGCTGGACAAAATGTTAGGACTAAAGCAGCTGGTGGCGACATATATATCTGAGCTGAATACGAATCTTGCTGTTGAGGTAGCAAAGTCAGAAGAACCACTAGAATTTGTAGCAAAATATTCAAAGACAGCCGAGGGAGAGAATTTAGCTTTCTTTCCAAAACCATTACTTGAAATTGGAGAACCACTTACCAATTATAAACTCCAAACAGAAGAAGAGCACAAAAGGGACGAACGAATTCTTCTTAGAAATTTTGAAGAGACTCGCTTGACTGTGGAAGAAGCAGAAAAACGAATGGCCCACACAACAATGGAAGAAGCACGTGTTCGTGGAGATATTGAGGAATACCAGCGTTTGAAAAATTTTTGGGAGGATTTGTGTAAGGAGAAGTAGAGATCGACTCTGTGACGTTTTGTGTATTGATCTTTTAATGTATTATTACTACCCCGTGATGTATGAATTTTTATAAATTTTTGATGTTGTCGGCTTTTATATAAAATCGATGAAGATAACTGAATGCATTGTCTTATTTTATGAGAATCGTTAACCTTGAACTTTGTGGTAAGGTAAGCCTTGGGATTTTCCCCATTTCCGTCTTATGGATTATGGAGGTAAAAATAGTTTACTTCTGACGTCGATTTGCAAGAGGTAGGTATTTAATGATTTTCTTCGCGACATAATTTACATCTGGTATATTTTTTCAGTATTTAAATCTCACTCATAAATAGATTTTGTTATATTATATAATGTTTATTAAATATGAAGACAAAAAAATTGTATAAGTGCTACAGCTACTTTTAATGAATAATTTTTGTGTTGGACATAAGACTGTTTTTTTTTTCAGACACAACTGTTTGTCCTGAATTACTTGAGGACCTACTTCCGCAAAAATATTTGTTACAGTTTCAGTATTACTGAAAAGTCAGCGAAATAAATTTAACTCACTTTATTTATACAACCTCACATCAAAGATAATTATGTCAAAGAAATGTTATTAATCAACACATATTTTTTTAGATAGCTTGTCAAGCAGCAAAAATAGCCAACCCTTCCCTGGACTGGCATTATTTCAAATCTTAATTGCTTATTCTGAACCATTACGTTAAACAAACATTCCACTAGCATAACCGCATTTTTCGTTTTTCAGGTTTTGGCCTGAGATCCATTCCACCTTCGAAGAGCACGATCCTGCTGCTGTCATATCCAGGGGAGCTCTTCATGAGAATCCTCAAACTCATCATTCTGCCTCTCATCATGTCCAGCCTGATAGCAGGAAGTGCTAGCTTGAATGCAAGACTTAATGGTCGGATAGCGATACGAACTCTGCTCTATTTTTTAGTAACGTCAGTGATAAACGCCATTCTGGGGGTGGTTTTAGCTACTCTCATTCATCCTGGAGATCCTGATCTTAAGAATAACAGGATCGACGAGACTGCGCTGAAACGGAGTGCTTCAGTCCTTGACAGTTTATTGGATTTAGGAAGGTAATGGTTGCGGTTAAATTTAGCATTGAAGATGCTTTCCAAAAATAGACGATTTCGAGCACGCAAACCGACGATTTTCGTTGACTTGGGATTTTTATTTTTAGAAACGTCGTCGCCGATAACATTTTTCAAGCAACTTTTCAACAGGTAAGGAAGGGTGGGTGGTAGTGAGGGTAGTTGTTATAAAAATGGTGGATGCGCCAGGTTGCGACAGAAGTTTTTTATTTTAATTTTTGAAGTTTGATTAACTATTTCGTCAGTAGGGAGGAAAGGAAATTTTCTACACAAAAATGAATGACACACATTGATTTGCTTAATAAGACAAGAAACTGAAAATTTACAGTCAGAGTTTGCTATTAATTTATCGAACGAAAACTGAGCACATGAAAAATTAAGTAGTTCCTTCCAAACTTGCACGCAACTTTTATATTATTAGAAATATGTAATATACATAATTTTAGTATTGGTAATATCTTAACCTTTATTAAGGATATTTACGTATTTCGTAGCTATTAGCTATTTTTACATTCGTTTCAATTCTTTGTCACGGAAAAGTAATCAAAGTTATCACGTCATTGAGATTGTCTAAACGATGAAAACAAGATAGGTGATATCATTTCAAGACGTTTTAAAGTTGATGTTGATATTCGCCACTACTCTAAAAATATTAAAATTGATGATTTAATTTCATTGACATTTTCTAGACAATGAACTTGTCTTAAAGACAATAATTTAAAACATATTTATATTTCCTCCAAAAAAACATGACGTCATTTTATTCAAAAAGCAAAATATAGCATTATTTACACCAAACCCTCGTCTTCTGAAGCACAACTAGTTACTACCAGAAGCAAAGACAGTGCGAAATAACAATTTTGCACGTTAAAACAACTACCCTTTGTAAAATACCTCTACCACCAATTTCCGTTTCAACCCCATTTTCACCCTCTTTCTTTTCAGGCTCACACCGACTACGTCAACACCACCCAGCGCGTCTTTAACGAAACCAGTGGCCTCTTCTACACCATCAACGTCACAGTTCCTGTCCTCAAGTACCGCTCCGGCACCAATACCATCGGAATCGTCGTCTTCTGCCTCGCCTTCGGCACCATCCTCGGCACTCTCGGCCAGAGAGCCAAAGTCGTCATCGACTTCTTCACCGTCATCTTTGACGTGGTCATGAAAATGGTCACCGGCGTCATCTGGCTCACTCCCATCGGGGTCAGCAGCGTCATTGCCGGCAAGATCCTCTCCGTGGACAACATCGTCCTCGTCATGTCCCAGCTGGGCTGGTTCATCGCCACCGTCATCATCGGTGTCTTCATCTACCAACTGCTCATCATGCAGTCAATTTACTGCGTTTTCCTCCGCAAGAACCCCTTCAAGTTTTACATGGGTCTAGTTCCTGGCACCCTCACAGCTTTCGCGACAGCTTCGACAGCTGCCGCCCTTCCTGTAACTTTCACCCTAATGGAGGAGAAGTTGAAAATAGATTCTAGAGTGACGAGATTTGTGTTGCCCATTGGGTGTAATATTAATATGGATGGTACTGCTCTGTTTGTGGCTGTGGCATCAGTTTTTTTCGCTCAGACTAACAATATTTCGCTGGGGGTAGGAGAGCTCGTCACTGTTTGGTAATCAAGTCAGTCGAAACAGGGCAAATTGTATTTGATTTTTCGTAGTTTTGCCTCCACGGCTGCTTCGTTCTCTTCGGCGAGTGTTCCAAGCGCGGCGTTGGTGCTAATATTAATGGTACTAACAGCCATCGACATTCCAGATCAAGACGTGTTTTTGTTGTTTGCGGTGGATTGGTTAGTGTAAGTATTAGGTCGTTTCATTTATTGGTACTTTAAACATCCACCACAAGAAACGACATAACACTGACATTAAACATAACCCAACTTTTTAGTTTCCCTTGAATTAAAATCGTTCTAGGTAAATTGTAGTGTTGGTGGATTTTTAATAATTTGTGAATAGCAAGTGCGTCACTGGAAACTTAAAATTTCTTTTCAGTGATAGGTTTAGGACAACTAATAATATGCTAGGAGACTGTTATGCGGCTGCTGTTGTTGAAAAGCTATCAAAGAAGGAGCTGATGGCTTGTGATGCGATTCTCTCACAGGTGAGGAGTGGTTACAATTTGATTTATTTTAATGTGGATTTTTAGGAGTCGAGCTTTGAACAAACTATACAAAAAGACATAGAACCGACTGTTGTTATACATAAGGGACTAAATAACGGTGCTACAAAGTAAAGAGAGCAATAGGGTTAAAAGACCTAAATATTTTGTGATGTTAGTTTATACACGTTTTATTGTGAATATTAGCTCAGTATTAATAAACACCTATGTACGTGTACTTATTCTTTTAGAATTGAGTAATAAATAAAATATTAAGAAGTAAATTACAGAAGAATACCTGTATACGATTTTCCAAATAACTTTCCTGATTTTTAAATAACAATAAATAAGGTGTAGTTAAAAGGAAAAATACAGTTGAGTTGTTATTCTTAAATATGTAGGTATCTACTTATAGTTTTTTTTGACGTATTGAAAGTTTTTAAAGACGATCCTTTGAGATTTGGTTTATCTAATTACTTTCCTGGCGTAAGCTATAAGGAAGTATTGTGATCTAGTGGCCACTTTCATGTTTTCTCGACGTTTCATCACCCTTAGGATACGTCTGTCTGTCGTCTGTACCGAATTTTTAGTGGACAGATAATCTTCGAAACTACCGGATAGACTGTTGCCAAATTTTATATGTATGTTAGAAATATCGTATAGATGGTAAAACTCTAACTAAATTTTGTCTAATCATCCTCACCAACAATGTGATAACATCACCTTTGAATGTTACTTAATAAACATTACTTAAATTTTATCAAATAACATACTCCTACACTCGTAGTTTATGAATCAGCATTAATTTTTTACCCTAGTCATCCTGGTGCAAGATATGATGAGTCTATCATTATGGTTTATCAATGCATAATATATTTTAGCAATAACTAATACTCGAAAACCTTCGACGAATGTATGATTTTTATAGATTCTCAATAATAAACACAACCTGTGGCAAATTTTACTTCTTGAAAATGTAATTGTAAAAATCAAATTTAAATTTTTTTGAATAGTTCCTCGCTTCGGAAATACCACAAATACCGGGGCAGATCACTACGGAATTTTGTTTTTAAAATTTTTCTCCCTAGTAAGTTTTTTTGAAAGAGATTTAAAGAGATTTTTCTGAAAAAATTTAAAGAATTCAAAACTGTGCAATAAAATCAAACTTTACACGGTTTCGTTTTTTTCTTACTAAGCTAATCGCTTTGAAATTTGGCACGTGTTCTGAGGTTATCATCAAGCTGGTAGATCGGTAATAAAAGTTATTTATCGATCCCCACCAAAACTTTGATAACGTTATCTTAAAAAATGCTAAGCTCTTTAAAATATCAGTTACACATGAGAGGTAAGTTCTGTCCAAATTACTTTTAGACCAATTTTTTTCTTTACCTTAAACAAGCAGATACTAATAAATTTAAAAAAATCAGATAAATGATGAGTCATATTTCTAGAGTACTAAGCAAAAAAGAAAGAAATATTTCAATAAAACAAAAAATATGTATTGGTATTAAATATTTTTAAAGTTATAATATTTGTTTAATAAACAATAAATCTTAAAAACATGTATATAATTCTTGTTTTGTCACTAAGTATATGAATTATGGAGGTAGAATGATTCATAAAAATAAGATCAAGTACGGTTCCATAATTTTCTTAACAAGGGTCTTTTATGTGAATAGTTTTACAACGTCTTACTACAATTAAGCAGCATAAAAATTTCTGAAAGCTGATCACCGTTTGGACCACAATCAAGTGATAATTTTATTTGATAATAAAATTTGGATTTTAGAAGATTCCCAGACAAATCTCTTTACAGTCAGCCGCTGTGGGGATTGAAAGAATAATAATATTACAGAGGGTTACACAGAAAATTCCATCGAGAATAATAATAAAATGTCAACGACACTCTTGCAGAAATGTATTCAACTTTAACATTATAAAAAAACCACGTGGAAACTATTCAAAATAACACGACACCGGTGTCTCGTGGTTACCTTAATTCTCTACCTATATTAACAGCAAGGTTATTAAAATTTGTGTATAGAGTACGATCTGGAAAATAGTGAACATTGATTTTCTGTTTCCAAATGCTTACTGAAAGTCTTCCATATGCCGCGCAAGATTATATATAGTAATGATAATTTCTAGCTCTGACTTTCTTTCCGACTACACGAAAACATTCTAAACTATAAAATGTGCTGTGTTTAAGATATATTTAGAACAATCAAAATACATGAAAAACTAATTCAGTTTATTCTAAACTGTGTTAAATTAAATTAAAACATCAACTTGGCAATGACGACAATTTTAACGAATTTTTAATATGATTTTTATAATTCTACCAGAGATAATAACTCTACATTATCACTAGGTTTTAGTCAAGTTGATTACAAATGTGGGATATGCATACAATTTTCAAATTATTCTAGTGGATTTTTCTGGTACTGGTTGGTGTTCACACTGCTAAACTAGCCACTAGCTGAGCATCTGTCATCTGTGTCTGTCATTCTGTCAAACGGTTGTTGTGGTTGTTGTGGAGGTTATGTTTGTTTATTACTTTTGAACATTTTTAATTAGCTAACATTAATTGCAATTTGTATGGTGCTGCCGTCGTGTTTCAGCTAAATTGGCACAGATTTAATATTCCGCACTACATTAAACCGACTTAATTACAAAATTGGCATAGTTTTTTGCCGCTTGTGTTCTTAACCCCACTTTTCTGTTTATCTCAACACGTGTCTTTAAAAAATGGGCGAAATTAATACAGAGCCCCAAGAAGCAGCTGAGGTAGACCCTACCGAAGAACTCTCCTATGAAGAAAAAGTACAAAATTGTAATGCCATTTCTAAACCAATGGCATCGAAGAAACTCACCAAAAAGTGTTACAAATTGGTTAAAAAAGGTACGTGCATAGAAACGAATATCCTCGGGTGTATTTGTTTCTTTGTTTTGTAGCCGTAAAACAGAAAACTTACGTACGCAATGGGTTAAAGGACGTGCAAAAGAGAATCCGGAAGGGCGAGACAGGAATTGTGATTTTTGCCGGAGATGTGACTCCAGTTGACATCATGTGCCATTTGCCTGGTGTATGTGAAGATAAAGATATTCCTTACGTTTATGTACCCAGTAAGAAGGATCTGGGAGCTGCTATGGGTATAATGCGGGGCTGCATGTTGGCTTTAGTGAGGTGTCACGATGATTATAAAGACACCTTTAATGAGTTGAAGGCTGAGATTACGAATCTCGCTGTAGCATTATAAGTATGTATAGGTTAAGCAATAAAAAAGTAATGAAGTTTAATACAAATATTTATTAGAATAGCAAATTATTGCACACATACATGATTGTTGAGTAGGTAGATGTTTTTCTGGATTAATTACACATCTCCCTATAGTTTTGCCTTAACGTAAATGGAAAATAACCCTGATAAAATCTATATTCCACACGCATCAAGTTTTGAAAGTGGTGGGTGCAAAGTTCTGAAGGGTGGTGCTTAATCGAGAAGCTGTAAGCATGGTGGAATATAAATTTTATAACGAAACCTTTTGGTGTTACCTAATTGAGATAGCAAAGCAAAAACGGTTAAAATTTCAATGTAGGCTATGATTTTCCGAGTGGTGCCGTTTATACAGTGAACTAAAACCTACTTTGTATAGTCCACACTAACTTAAAAATTAATCAGAGAACACATAAAATGACAAGTCTGCTTGATAAAGGGAGCACCTAACTTGTCATCGAGAAGTTGGTCCTAAAAACGAATAAATAAAAAGACAGTGAGACACTGATCTTCAATATTCGCACATGAGTAGAAAAATTCTTGAATAGAATGAGTCGAAAAGACTAGACGGACCTAATTTCCCCTAAGAACTAAAATTGACGCGTCTACATGTAGAAAAATAGGTGTTTTTGTTTTCTCTCCCAGCGTACGCCACTGATGTTGCGCTACACACGACCGAAGCCATCTACCATCACCTACCACATGATGTAGCTACCCGAGCAAGGTCAGTCTAGTCGTTTTATATACTTAAAGGCTTACGATCTAACGCGCAGTATACAGGGTGCACCAACACACGAAAAATCGCGCCACCAAAACCACCCGCAATCGAGCGCCCAAATCTAAAACTACATTAGGCCTAGCACTTACACCGTGAAAACCGCAAAAGCCACCCCAAAAAAGTCATTGCTTCATCAAATACGAAACAAAAAAGCAACTTTTCACTTTCCACGCTACAAGCTGCTTCACATTTAGTTGTAAATTTAGTGTCGCGTCACTGGCCTAGAACTGCTCGATTACGAATGATCTCGATCGCGCGCTACGATCTCGAGAGTCGCCACAACGCGGCCACTGCACTTATCCTACGAATATGTTAAGACAATAATGAGAGAGAATCGGTGAAATGAGTAAAATGCTTTGTTTTGAACAGTCACAGAGTTTTGCGTCAGAGTTGGCTAGAGGACAGGGCCGGATCTGACTCGGATTTCCGTGAAAAACACAGACAGCCCGATGTTGATTTGATTGTGGGCTTGAGTTCTTTGTCGCGTTCCGCCAGACACTTTTGGTAGTAGTCGTAGTCCTTCAAGTACCAGACGGGAGGCCAACGGTGCTCCACTAGGTACGCCTGGTTGTCGGGGTGGAGCAGGCGGAGACTGCGGGGCGACATACGACAAAGCTTGTTGTAGTTGACGCAGAGGTGGTTCATACACCATTCGGCGAGTTGGTGGCCATTGTGGAGCTGGGAATTAGAGAATATTAAACAGAATACCAGATTACGGCGGTGAGAGTCAAAGAAATAAATAATGAAGGGTACGAGCTTGGCTCGCCCTTTGTGGTTTTGTAATTCTGACTTTCGATCTACTATGCACATTTATTATTATCTTGAACGCGGTACCTACTATGTATTCGTTGTTTGTACCTACGGTAAATATTTAATAAATGTGTGAAAATGATCACGGTTTACCGTATTGAAGACCATTGGAAACAACGTTAAATAAATGATGAAAAATATATCGCACAGTATTTAGCCTATGTTTGAAAAATTATCTCAAGATGACTTTTCAAACTTCTACATTGATTGGAAATTGAATTTTATGCTTACTTCTCGTGCGAATATTTAAATTTAAAAAATCTGCATATTAAATGATGAAGCATACCTTGAACTTTCAACAATACTAATTAAATGTCTGTCCTCTTAAGGAAGAAATATGGGAAAAGTGATCGTTTGACGGCAGTTCCGAACAAATTTTTTAATAGTATGACGTCATATGTGTGTTAACAGACACCGAATGAGTTGTAAAAACTATAAAAACATGTGTTTGTAGCTATTATTTAACGATCAAGTAATTACAGAGAGTGTTCGTAAGACTCATGCCAAATGTGTATATGCTGTATGTTTGAGGTCTTGACGGCTGTATTCATAACTTCACCTTGGGGATTTCGGCGTCACTCTATAATCACCTTTAATGACACGTAATTTACAATGTGTTTTGTCAGTACAGAAAATAAAATTACGCGTATGCATATTTGTTCACGTGATATCTAGGTCGCTTGTGTTTGAAATCAAAGGGGAATTTAGGATTTATCGTAATTTAATACAATATGGTTAATTTGTAATCAAAGGAAAACTTTTGTTGTTAAACAATAAATAGTTTTCTCGTTCGTAAATAATACATGCATACTCAGAACGTTATTTTTGTTGGAAGGCACAGTAGTAAGATTAGTGACGTGCCGTTTATAGCCTTTGGTGAAAATATGGGGGGTATAAATAAATGGCAAACGATTATTATTTACAAAATAGCAAAATATAAAATGAAATTTTTATGTGAAATTTGCAATACAGACGAGATATGTGCTATTATACTCGTGTACCATAGACATTTGAATTTTTTAAAATACACTGACCGGCAAAAAAACCGGCCACCCATAAAAAATTTCGCAAAACCACTTTAAAAATTATTAATTTAACTAGTGATTATTATTTTATTAAAGAACCATTCACTATTGACACATGATCTACAAATTAGCATAAAAAAGAAGACAAATAAACGCAGAATTAAATTTAATTTAACAAAATAACAGAAGCATACCAAGTACGATATTTCCTTAATTAAAACAATAAAGGAGGGTGTTGTTGCAAACAGTGTTTTTCGTCATTTGAATATAAGTTTTGGCAGTTAGTAAACGTTTTCACGCGAAAACAATGCCGTTAATTTTTACACACGTCTCTCAAATTATCGCTCTGTTTTTGTTATTTTGTTAAATTAAATTTAATTCTGCGTTAATTTGTCTTCTTTTTTTGGGCAATTTATACACCATGTATCAATAGTGAATGGTTCTTTAATAAAATAACGATCATTAGTTAAATTAATAATTTTTAAAGTTTGGTCTTGCGAAATTTTTTAGGGTGGCCGGTTTTTTTGCCGGTCAGTGTAGTTGCGAATTTGATGGAGCATTGTCCATGTCGATCACAAAGTAAGAAAAGCTGATGAGTCTCACACTGTTTTATTTTTTTATATTTTCTTGAAAACATTTTTGTGAGTGAAATTTCGCAATTTCTTTGAATCCGATTTTTTCGCTCTTGACTTTGTCGAAATAATTATTACTATTCCACTGTGGATTTCAAGTAAGTAGTTGAAAAACCAATTTCAACAAACTGCAAAAAACGTATTTCATATTTTATAGAATTGTTCTACTTAACGAATTTTACGAAATAAAGTGTGTTAGTCTATCTTGGTTAACGTAAAAGATTAAGGCAGTACGCCGTTAGTTTTTATTTATTTATTTTTTTAACTAGTTAACACTTGATAGATAATTCTCTTATGTTTTAGTGGCTACTTATCTAATCGCTATCAAATGGTTAAATTAAATGGCTCTTATTCTTGTTTTGCCTATCACAAGTGGAGTTCTTCAAGGCTCTGTCTTGGCACCTTTATTATTTTTAATTTATACATCTGATATTTTTCCAGAAAGATATTCCAATGTGATTAGTTCCGCAGGTGATAATCAGATTCAAATGTGAAATATTGTTATAGCGGTCAACCATGTAGATATTATTTTCGACGAAGAAATTAGATTAAAAATTCGTCCAAGGGTCCTTGAGTACAGTCCAAAAAATCCAGCTTCTTCGAAAAATGTTAAAATTTTATTTTTAATTTTTATTTTAAGTTTTATTTATTTTATGACAACCCCTGAAAGTTAAAAAATATAGATAATATCAGTCACAGTGTAAGAAAAAAAAAAGGTTCATGAGGAGATCGAACCTACACGTTATTAGCACACTTTCAGTACGTAGATACAACGTTATGCTAGAGTTGATTTTATAGTGGTATAAAATGTTATTACAGATATAATTTAGCTTTTTGTCGGAAAATTTGGATACAAACTCCAAGGCGGATTCAAAAACCACAAGTATAAGATTATGTTATTTTATAAAACTTTATGTGGTATTTACCAAGCTAAATTTTGAGATGACATTATCAAATTGTTGTTGGGGATGCTGAGACACATTTGGCTAGCGTTTTACCATCTATCTACACGATATCCCTAACATACTAAATATCGCTTCCTTGAAAAATAAAAAAAAGATTTTCCGAACTTTTATTTGTGTTAACCTCTATACATTAAAATAGAAAATATAGATAATACTAGTAACAGAGTAAGAAGCTGAAAGACATCCAACTTTTTTTTTAATGACACAATATATTTTAGAGATTCTTGTAGAACTTGTTTTTCTGAATTCATTAATGTATCAGAATTTAATCACCCATATTTAGCCACTGATTATGATTCGAACGCATTGTTATGAAACACCACGGTTGACTTCTTTATATCTGGTCTGGAGTGCACTTAACAACTGCCCCAAAATTATGGATGCATTGATAAAGAGCAAGGCTGCATTTTTTGTGAGTTTTCTCACATGAAAATGTTCCGATCGATATTATTTCGGCAAGGAAAAACTATGTCAATTCCGGCACGTGCAGGGTGAACTGCATGATAAAACACTCGGGTTTACCGTTATTGAGATTTGATCAATAAAAAAATATAGATAATCGCAATGAACAAAAAACCCCCATGCCATATTCGAACGTGCGCGATTTTCACGTTACAAATCCGAAGGCGAACACTTCATGCATAAAAGTTGTTGTATAACTTCGATTTTTTTGCGAAAAGTAGGAACCCTCGGGGAAAATCTCAAGGCGGATTCATTAACTATAAGTATAGGGGTATATTATTTTATAAAATTTAAATCCTACTTACGTTGAAAGATTTTGAAAATATGTTATCACATTGTTGGTAGGGATGATTAGGTAAATTCCGGTTAGTGTTTTACCACTTGACATATTTATTTATTTATTTAAATAGCAATTTGTATGTACGCTCCTTCCTGATTTGAAAAAAATATTTGCTTTGTCACACAAAACATTAATTTAAACTACCTAGTTTTCCATGACCGCGGCTGCAGTGGTCCGATAGTTTCGCAGATTATCCTCTCATAAAAATGTGGATAGACAGCAGATATACAGACACATGGACGAAAACGGGAGATCAATTTTGTTGGTACTCTTGGGGTCAAGAAACGTCTAGAAAACATGACAGTAGCGAGTCGCCCGATGGACCCGATTACAATAGTTCCTTAACTTACGCTCAGGAAGTAAAAATATAGATTTGCGTACTAAATTAATCTTCCCCCTTCAAGCCAAAAACAATGGCGTTCACAGAATTTTAATATTTCTATCCGTTCTCACGATATTAGGCTTTGGGACACCTTTATATATTGATGTCGCAAATAAATATTTTTTTGCAGTGAATACGAATTTTAAATTTTAAAAGTACGCCCCTAGCATGGGATACTGCCTGCTCCTGGTACAGTGTCATTTAGAGTGTGTTTATACAGTTATTACCGTCCTTAACTTCACCGGGAAATACAATTATTCGAGTGGTTACAAAAATAACGTTATGAGTACCACCAAAATTTCAGTATGCATCTTTTCTTTATGTATAAAAGTATCCCGATGGTCTGATGACGGAAATTTATGCAAATGCGTCAATGGATTGTAAGAGGATATTTATCAGGATAAATATCTATATCTAAGGACTATTGAAAAAAATTGTTAATATACTTATACCAAAATCAAACAAGGTTTAAACTTATTTATAAGAAGGGCGTGATTCAGAAGATGCATTTTCACAATGTAAAATCTCCACTGTTATTAAATATAACCTGTCCAGAAATTCGTCTATATAACACAAGAGTTTTTTTTTTAACAATTTATCATCTTTTTAAAATGTTGTTGAAACTTCTCATTTCGTCTACGTATTTTTAATAAGCAATATCTCAATTATTTATGGAAATTTCGGAACGCCGTTTGCGCCACTGTTTTCAGCTTACAAAATGGGGATTTTTTTTTGTCGAAAATGAGATGCAGTAAAGGCAGCTTTTGTCCAAGAAACAATTAGGTTTGTCTAGAAGATGCCACCGTGGTTGGCGAAACGTGTTGGCAAATATTTTGTCTGGTTTCGGTGTTGTGGGTAATAAAGATAATAGAAAGGAGATAATGATGAACTGTTTTTAAACATCTGTCCTTGCGTTATTTAGAGAAAGTTGTGGACACGTTACATACAAGCCTGTTCATAATGAAGATGATAATATTGTGAAGATATATTAAATATCCCGTAACGGGGAGACGTAGCAACTCACGCAGCCAACTGGCAATTTTCTCATATTTATCAAATGAGAACTGCATTTTAGGACAATTTCGAACTAAATTAAATTTCTTTAGATACCAGGTTGGTTGGGGATTAAGTATGAAAATAATTTCAAAAAATTTTTAAATACATTTTCATAATGTTGATATTAAAAGAAAAAGCTTACTTAGAGATAAGCTTGTTATAAAATACTACAGGTGTCCCACTTGAAACGTATGAGAATACTGTAAATTTTATCTCTGTGTACAAAAATTTAAAACTCTCTTCAATTTCTTATACATTTGTCAAGGCAAAGTAACTGAAAATCAAGTGAGATTTTAGACCACCATCTTTAAATATAGCGGAGTTGAGAATTTTTAAATATGACAATTTTTTACACGGAAATACAAATATTTTGAAAACTATAGATTATGATGTCTGATAACATTTTCTCCCTTTTTAATAACCATCTAAATCAGTAGAAATATGTGGATAATGCGTAATCTTTCATCACCCCTTGAGACACCCTGTATTATTGAACAAGCATCATCTGGGAAATAAGAGTTGTATAAAGTCTAAAAGGTATAAAGGGGTGGTTTTAAAATTTGCTACCGAGACATTAAAAGAGAATACACTGTATTTTATGGTGGAAATAAATCATTGGGTTTTATGTACGTAGACGACAAGTCGGTCCAGCAAACTGTAATAATTTAATTTATTTAAATATTTATCTAGTTAAAATGTGGTATTGGAGTCCTTCCTTATAGCCCTAAACGTAAAAGTAAACCCTCCCACTTCCATCAGTACGTGTTTGGATCAACCGGTAAACTCATCCTGCAATAAAACCCCTGTCGTCGCTAGAAAAAGACGCCTCTACAACGCTTTAGTATGATTACCTTGACGGGTTCCAATAACCGTAAACATTGCTCAATAGCTTCAGACGGTTGTAAACACTCCAAATCTTCGATGACTCTTTTTTCAACCAAATTGACAAGTCTTGGTAAACACAGCCGATTTGCTAATTCCAATAGATTAATACATCTCACAGCAGACACCGCTGGAATTTCGTCGGTGTACAAGAAGCAAAGGAGCTTATGAAACGTGTACTCCCGCACTCCGGGAAACTCGATCTGGAAATCCGCCGAGTGAAATTACTCTCACTCACGAATTCTGGCTTAATTCAACTTACAACTTTGGCCTGACTCTCCCGGAAATCCCCGCTGAACATGGCCTTCATGACGTCACAGCGCGCCGCCAGCATGGCCTTATGTGCGGCACAGGCCCCGTCGTCCAGCTCGAAGATGACGTCGGCGAACAAGCCCTGGTCCAGGCAGATGTCCTGGAGTCTGCGTTTCAAGAAGTTCTCGTAGGTTTCGTCGGGGTGATCCGGGCCGACGAACGGGTGTTTAGTGAGCAAAACGAGTAATTGTGGCAACTCCAGGAACTCCGCGGCTTCTCTAGTTTCCTGCAGGTTGAGGGCGCTGCGGTCGATCGTCCCCGTGTAGGCGAACTGCAAGCACTGGTGCATGGCTCCAGGAGTCACCAGCTTGCTAAGGGTGACCACGGTTTGGCCTTCAGGTTGCACGTTCCTTGAAGAAAGTCATGAATTTTGGGTTTTGTTCTCTCTAAACATAGATATAATTTACTTCGCCGTTATTTTAAAACCTGTGCTCGTTATTTTAAGTTAAAAAATTGCGAAGTTAATTATATGTTTGATGTATTTACAACAAATCCTGAAGGAAACGGTGAATACGGCGAAACGCTGGCTTAAAAAACATATAATGTCTAATAACTCAGGGACACAAAAACTGGTCTAAAGTTATTCAGACAGAAATTTTCTTGCCCCTGAATTACAATTAAACAAGTTCATTTTATCAGAAAATTTTGATATGTAAATTTATTTCATTCACACTCTTCAAGTGAAATTTACTTTCTAAAATTTTAAAATGACGTCACCAAGTTTTTGGGAGAGATGACTAGACAATGTGTCACGATAATCTTAAAGTGTGTGCAAAATTTTGGATCAATCATAGCGTCTAAAATAAATTGTGAATTTTTGATTACATAGTCAAAAATAATAATGTATCAATCGTACATCAAAAGAATATTATTTTGTACATTTTAAACTGGATTTACTTCCTAAAATATTAAGATGACATCATCAAATTTTTAATGGGAATAAATACACAAATTTTACTTAGCGCTTTTTACTATCTATACGGTGATCTGAAAATACGCTCATGTGTCAGTCTCTTCAAAGCTTACTTCACGTTTATAAAATTGCCAACCAGTAGTCCAACAACAATTAACAAATGGAAACGGAATATCTACTTTTTCACATTCTAGAAGCTCTGGGACGTCGAAAAAATTGGTCGAAGTTGAAATTTGAATTTTGCGAGTTTCCATTTTTGTGATAATCTCTATAAAGTAAGAACCAGTGGCGTAACTAACACCCATTTAGCCCCAAATTCCAAGTGTGGACAATATTAAATATATTTAAAGCAGATAAATAACGCGAAAAAATGTAGACATTTTCAATTTCTCAATATATGTTTAACGTTGACACTTTGATTGTTTATGTTTATATTTCGAAAGAATTCGACTATTATTAGCACGTTCAGATTACAAGCAGCAGCGGTTAAAAGAAAATGAAATTTGATTAATTCTGTGTCGTTAACACAGAGAGGACAGGACTGATACATAATTAATTAACCATATAATGTACATATAAAATTTGACAACAGTCGGTCCAGTAGTTTCGGAGATTATTTATTTAATAAAAAAGCGGGCAGACGACAGACATACAGACAGATGGAAACGGAAGACCTATTTTTTCGTACTCTAGGGGTCATAAACGTCTAGAAATCATAAAAGTAGCCAGTCGTCCCATTGACTCGATCAACTTAGCTTACTCTAAGGGAGTAAAAAACACGACATTAGTCATTCATTAAATGGACCCTACTCTTCTCTAACTCAAGTTCGGGAACTCAAAATTGCACGGTTGACTATACGTATTCGATATTATAATGTGTTCAGAATTACGGCGATTTTTTAATTATTGTATTTATTAAGTCCGACAATCCCGAGAATACAAAAAAGTAGTACATATTAGCATGTACCTTGTTGTATGAAGTGATAACAGGCGATTTCTTTTAACCCTGGTCTCTGGTGCATAAAAAAGGGCTAACAATGCAGAAAACTTTCGTTGCTCCAGAGAACACAATTGTGCGACAAAATAAACAAAGGAGAATGTAATACGTATGTTTAAGAGGTGGAAGAGGGGAATCGACAACATTACGTACTAAGTAAATATAGCAGTTATTAAAAAATATTCTGCAGAGCCACCTGTGATTACATAATATTTAGAAGAACAAAAACAAAACAGCAAATATGTACTTCAATGTGTTATTCAATTTACACTAATTAGTGCTACATAAAAGATTTATTATAATCTACAGGACAAAGGAAATCAGTCGCCCAGTACTTCGACGTGATAGGAAAAAATACATCAAACAAAGAGAAAGAGACTATATTGTGGCAACGTGATCCACTTACACTACCTTTGAAACAGTAAGACAAGCGGATAATCGATTAAATATGTCACCTTCTCAAAAACGTGAAGATATTTTGCAAACGTGCATTATATGCATACATTTCAAATGAATAATGTAGGCTTCTCTAATCAACAAATGCTTTCAAATACAATTTTTTATAAAAATCCTAACCTGATTTATATGGGTTAAAAAAAGACAATTTACGATGAAAGATAATAATGCACTTAAGTTCGCCAGATTAATCAATACCAGGCTTGCCTGTGGAGGATTCTATTGTTCACTTTATATTCAAAGGGAATAAAATTTTTCTGTAAGCTAAAGTACCACTTTTGTAGCGGTTTATTACATGCGGCCTTCTTTTAAAGATACCCTTTAAAACTATGGAAGGTTTTTTTTGCAAATATTTATGAGTGGCGTTGTGATGTACAGTCACAAAATGTTAATCTCATTTGCACATTATTAAGTAGCAAGAATTTGAATGACGAGGAATATCATTGACAAAAGCAGGCAAAAAGAGGGATCACGGGGAAATCTTGTACCCTTGTGCTACTCCAAACTTAAGACGTCTGTCTTTTGAGTATAAATTTAGTAATGGATTTTAACGGAATATCCTCGAAATAAGAAATAAAGTTTTACACATTAGTCTGAAGAAGGTTTAACTTTTTATGCTTTTAGCTATTTCTTGTTTTTTGTTAAGTTCAGATGTTAAAACACTAAGCATTTTTTATTCTCTCCAAAATTCGTTAAGTATCTAAATCCCACTTAAGATGTCCAGCATCACGTGCTTTCTTATCTGTGTAATACTAATAATTCACTCTTATTTTTAACTTCACGAATACGTACTTTCTTAAAAAATACTTTAAACAATCAAATTTTATAATTTATCGTTGCTATTACGTAACGAACTTTTTTGAAATTTGTGATTATAGAATAGAACATGTCTTAAAAGTTTGTTTACGATTTACAAAAACAGTGAATGAATTATGAATTGTCCTGGTGCAGATGATGCAGAAAGTAAAATCATGGGATAAATATTTGTTGAAAATTACGCCGTGCGATGGATTCTGTATTGAATAAAAAATATCAATGCTTGAATCGATATATTTTTGCGATTATCTTACATAATTTTTTGGCAACGCACAATATTATTAGGGCCAATAAATTTAAAATATTTATCTCCAGCAAAGAGTAACTAATGTCTCAGAACTATTAAAAGTTCTGTAAAACATATTCTGGGTATTGGTTCTGCTTCAGGAACGAAGAAGGCAAATGGCACTACCTTTTTATCTCAACTGAAAAATTAATTTTTTTGATTAAATAAAAAAAAAACGACATATATTAATATTTATAATTTAGCTAAGAAACAGGATTTGTTTAATTCACTGTATTAGAGAGGCTAGGAAAGTTCAGTCTGCGTTATCTGTGTTATCTTTTCAAATTTCGATCTTAAGAAAAAAATCTAATGGCAATCCTCATAAATGAGGAAGTCCTTCCTACATTAAAATATGCTCCCTATTTTTTTTGAAAATCATGTTTGAGATATTTCTGCGATAAAATAAATAAATCAATTTGTAGTCACTTTTTCGAACGTCCTGTGCAAGCGTAGCTTTCGATAGATTTATTTAAACTTTTTTAGGTGCGTCATCAATTTTCTGAATGGCAAGATAAAAAATGTAATTAATGTTCTGGCATATAAAATCAATACTACTATCTTAGTTTGTGGTGTAATCTTTCAGATAAACTGTAAAATTTGATTTTCTAAACTTATTTTTTATGGAAAGCCCTATTAAGTTAAAAATAGAGATGATCAATGAGAGGACAAATCGGGGAAAATTTCAAAATAGTTGGTAGTTTCGGAAATTATTTATCTAATAAAATAGTAAACAGACGATAAACACTTAAAAAAAGATAAATTTAAAACCTTTGGAAGATTTCAGAGCCTGTGGTATTGCAGTTTCTACACTGAATTGTAAAATACTGTTATAATAAAATTGTGATTTTGTTTCAAAAATCTGGACGTCTAAAGTAAAATACAAAGGCGGATTCATAAAACAGAGGTCTAGAAGTATATTATTTTATCAAATTTAAATGCGATTTACTTCGCAAAATTTTTGAAATAACGCCATCAAATTGTTGCTGGAGTTGCCCAAAACATGCTTTTGCAGGCCTTGTCTATCGGTTCGACCCAACTAATTTACTGGTATTCTTTAAAGCCTTCTTGTACAAGTGTAACTTTCGATACAGGTTTATTTAAAGCTTTTTTACAAGCGTCATCAATTTTGTGGATGGCATGATAAAAAAATTAATTAACAGTCTGCCATCTAAAATCAATATTACTATCGTATTAGTTTGCTGCGTAATCTCTCATTATCAGATAAAATGTAAAATTGGATGATTTAAAGTATTTATCTTCGTAGGAAAGGTACCAAGTTAAAAATAGAAATGATTAAAGAGAGGCGAACGGCAATCAAGGTCGTACGTTTGCATACACAACAAGTGGTCACTCGAGATTTTCGACATGTTGAGTACTTGTTGCTTATGTGTAGGTGCTTACTGCACCTGATAACAACTCGATCCATAATATCTTAATATCACCAGGTGTCGGTACCTTATGCAGTGGAAAGCCGGATGGTCGAGCTCCCTCGCCGAAGGCAGCGCCTGACAGCTCGCCCGCCTCTTGCACGTCTTCTGCTCGGCCCGCACCAGGCACTCCGTGTCGTCGGCGAAGTCGCCCAGCGAGCTCACCATGCTCGAGTCGCTCGTGCTGCGGGCCATCAAGTCGGCGGCGAGGAGGCGGTAAAAGGCCCGACTGCACGCCGCCAGCACGAATCGGTGCGCGGGGAACCCCACCGAGCCCACCACGAGCACGATGTCGGTGTGAGCGCGGCCTAGATACAGCTGGTGCATATGGTCGGAGTAGGAGCCGGTGACGACGAGGGCCTCGGGTTTCATGGGCGGCGGCGGCTTGAAGGGTGCCTGCAGGAGGGGGCGCTGGACCTTCTTGAGATTGGTCATCCAGAACCTCTGCTGGCGGCGCGCGATCAGCGCGGCCCTGATGGCGTTTTCGAACACTTCGTTAACTCCGTAATACGTAAGTACCGACGTTTCGTAGTAGTAGAGGCCCAGCTCGCGGGCGACGTCGCGGGCTTCGTCCGGCATCACGAGGTCGCTCTTGCGGGTGGCTCGCACGAAGGGACTTCTGTCTCTGAAGTAGCTCAAGTAGGCCTCGTCCCTGTACATGTAGCGGAGGTCGTTCTTGCAGCCGACGAGCAGAACGGGCGTGCTCGGGCAAAAGCGGCGAATTTCGGGGAACCACATGAGGCGGCAGTTGCGCAACGAGACCTACAAAAAATACAAGGAAATTATTATTAGTCGGAACAAAATTATTTGAGAACAGAACATACTAGAGTAAGCACGAAGATACTTAAGATAAGAAAAATTGGTCGAAGGTTATTTCGACAGAACTTCCCTCTCTCCTGAAGTACAACTTCAACAAATCCCGCTTCTTTGAAAAGTTATAAAATGAGATTTTGCGATGTTTGTTTTATGATAACCTCTATAAAGTAAAAATCAGCGGCATCCCCTGCGCCGTGGGGGCGCAAATTGCAGTGGATTGTACAAAAAATGAAAAAATGGAAAAAATTGTCTCTTAGCAATATCAACAAACTTTAACTTCATAATAATAAATACAGATAATACACAGCGCGAGAAAAAAAAAAGAGAAAAAACAGTCCAACAAATTTCGCGTCTTTGAAAAATTATAAAAAAAAAAATGTTTTCTGATAACCTTTTTACTTGTATGTATTTATATTATCATGTTACTTATGTATTTGAAACACATAAGTAACATGATAAAATGTCTTTCAGCACTAGGTAATAGAAATTTGAAGCTCAAGTGTTTATTGATGTTTATACATCGAAAGAGTGTCACGGAGAAGTTAGTTTGACTTGAATGAGTTTGTCGTCTCAAAACACAGGACTAAAATTATTAATTAAACCACAATCGAACAAAATGTTCTGAATATTACAATCCTTATTTTTTCATTATTATTATTATTATAAAGACGTGTTTTTCACATTTTCGAGAAAAGGGGGTGACTCGTTCTTAATTTGACCAAAAAAATTTGTAATGGCGTCATCAACATGGATAGTACTAGTCATAGCACAAAAGAAAAGGAGTCGCAGTATTACCAATGCAAGAAAAAAAAGTAAATGGCCAAGTTCAGCATCGAACCCACTACCACATGTCACACGGCTTCGCCACAGGTCTTCTTATTCCCGACTTAGCAACTGCGCCACGGGGACTTCTGTCCGATGGTGGAAATATAACGTTATTATACCTTGCGAATATTTTTGCGAAAATTTGAATGTCAAGCGAAAAAACTGAAAGCGGATTCGTATACTAAAAGTATAGGAAAATATTTTTGTATAACATTCAACTCATTTTTAAAAATACGGTTCATTGAGATGACGTAATCAAATTATTGGTGGAGATGATTAACCAAATTTTGGGTAGCATTTAACCATCTACATGATATTTCTAATATACATACAAAATTATTTGACAACAATCGGTCCAGCAGTTTCGGAGATTACATTTCTAATAAAAATCGATACAGACGCCAGACAGACAGACGGAAACAGGAGACCACTTTTTTCGTACTCCAGAGGTCGTGAAAACAAAAAAGTGGCAACGGATTCGATTACTATACTTCCTTAGCTTACACTCGGGAAATAAAATGTCTTTCAGTACCTGTTAAACATTTATTTAGTTTTGAATTAATTTTTTTTTAAACCTGTACCAGATAACTGGGTAAACAGCTTATAAAATCAAAATACAAAATTACATGATATTAAATTTTACTATTTACTGTTGCCGTTTGCCTAATTATTAAATTTGAAGAAGAATGCATTTTAAAGTAAAGAAGAGGTCGATGAAATAGAAGAAAACGAGGAAACTGAAAACGAAAGCTAAATGAAACAAAATAAAATTGTGACGGAAACATTTTGATGTTAAACTTAATTTTGAAATGTTGCCCCATTGGTCCCCACCCGCAAAAAATTTGGAATGACAAGACAATTCATTCATTTGAAAGATATTTTAATGCATTATACGACTTCAGAAATTATTTGGAAGTTTGTTAATTGTTAAAAAAATTGATGTGAAGTTATTTAGAACTCCCATGTGAAGTTTTTGGTATTTGTGATTCTTTCGACGCAGAGTTATTTAAAAAATGTCAAATTTGATTTTTACAACAAGATTTTCACGGAGTTAAATTTAGACGAGTTGCTTATTCCGAAAAATCGATATTTCTTGGAAAAAATCTGTTGGCGAATCTCTTGGAAATATCGGACCACTCGGTTCTTGGAACTCCCAGACTCGAAATGTATCACCGAGGGGGCTAGGAGGGGGTGTAATGCACGAAAACCAGTCTTAACGTATTTGTAGAACTGCTTTTGTGGATTTTAGAGATGGATCATTTCAAGTTCAATATGGTGAATCATCAGAATCTGACACCGAACTCTCAGTCAGTAGCGTAACATGCACACTTCAGAAGGGGATGGTTTTTTAAATTTGAAAGTGGACTAACAAATCCCGCTTCTTCAAAAAACTATATAATTTCTGATGTTTAGTCAAAAATTTAGTTACGAGTTTTTTAAATAATCAGTTTTCGAATCTGTAAAATGACCAGCGGGGTCACCAGATCTCACGTAACTTGTTTTTTTTGGCACATTAAATCGGTGGACGACTTAACTAGCCAGAATCTTTGTAAGAATTAAGGGAAACAATCATTTGGGAGTGTCATCAAATAATTTTTGCAGCTTTGTGCAATGTGGGGAAAGCATTTTGAACACTTAAAATTTAAAGCTAATTAATTAGTGTCCTCAATTAATTATAATAAACTTAAAATATTTGTTAACTACTAACGAACTATTTAACAGTTAAACAGAGGTAGTTATTATGATTAGGTACCATTAAAACTATAAAACACATGTTGGTAACATTATTATAACAACAATTTTGCATGTCCGGTTCATGCTTAGTCGTAAAGCAAATAAAAACTTTTTTTAATTATAAACATGAAAGAATTTCATTCATTTTTTAAATGAATGGAAGAATAAACTCAAAATAATTTGTAATCTATATAAGCATTAAAATACCATTCAATTGACAGGTGCTAAAATGTGCCCTCCTAAATAAAAAAATTATGTAATTAATTTTCAAAGACGGTTATATTTAATTAAAAATTACTGTAAACTTGTTTAGAAAAAACTTCCCCCGCACCTGAAGCACAATCAAAGAAATCTAGCTTCTCAAACAAATTATAAAATTTGCGGCTTTATTTTTCTTTTTTGTGATAACTTCTTCATAAGTTAAAATAAAAATAGGTGTGGATTTTTAAACTGTAGGCAATGAAAGAAAGTTTTTCTTAATGCAATTTTGTGATACGGCATCAAATTTTTAGTAGGGACAAATATTGTCACGTCCCAAAATATATATATTCGGATAAGTACAGTGTAGTACTAATAACAATAGTGTAGGTATTCTCAGAATTTAAGGAAAATGAGATAAACTGTTTTTGCTGTAGTTAATAAAATAAATTGCTTCGTTCATTACCACATCCTGTATAAATAATTCAAAAAATATGCGTGCACTGATAAACCGCAAATGCCATGATATGTTGCACTTTTGAAATATGATTTATCTAGCAAAATTTTGCAATAACGTCAAGTTTTTAAAGAGGATAAATAAGCACATAAATTTTGATTAGCGATTTACTATTTTACGATAAGTTTAATAATTTTTAATTTTTTAATAAATAAGGGGGGACCAACATTTTTTGTAATTCTGACCTTATTACCTAATCCTCGCATTTAAATAATAATATAATACAATTTCGACAATTATTTGTTCAAGGCGCTTTTAAAAACATAAAAACTAGTATGAAGTACCAGTTAAATGAAATCTCTACGCAATATTTGACTGTTTTAACCAGCGACGTGTTTATTCTCCGATTAAATTTTACGTTTGTTTGCACAATGTGACAGTATAAAGTTAAGGTGCTTCTGCTTGAGGATAATACACACTTACTAGAATTACAAGAGTATTACATTCCTTCATTCGCAATAGTTTCATTGTTGTATATTATGATAAGGTAATCTTTACTATGAAACTATGATCTCCTTTCGAAATAACGGGAAATTAGTTGCGATAAAATTTGACAAATCAATAGATTTTAAGTTGTAGAATCCTACCTGAAATTATTCCATCTATAGCAGTATTTCATGACGAGCTAGTGTGCTTGCGTTAGATAAATAAACTGCTATACAGCTTGTGTCACAAGTTGTATTTGAAGCAGATTACTCTGCTGTTTACTATCTTAGAACAAAATTATGTAACAGATTTATAATACGTTTGTTGCCACTGTACGATAAAAGTATAGTCACTTATTGGAACAAAGGAAAAGACGGTGGCAGATTTTAATGCAAGATGTGAAGTGAAAACAATCACATAGGATGTTAAAACTGATTTTTGCTGTATACATTAGGGTGATTCAAAAAAAAAATATTTTTTTTTTCGTGTCAAAGAGGTTCAAAAGTTTCTTTTCAACGTAAAAAAATACCAGTTAAAAGTTGAGCTCTTAATATTAATATTAAGACCGTCCGCATCGCGTTTTTCTATTTCCCATAAGAATAACATGGGAAAATTTTTGTTTGCACCTTCTGATTTTTATTGCTAGCCCGTCGTGTGTCGTGAAAAAAATTCAATCACATATTTTTATAGAGAATTGAACGCTCTACAAAAAGTGTCTCCTATGATTTTGCGAGAAACCTGACTATGATTTTTTAACCCACTGATGCTGAAAATGTTCGGAAAGAGTTTTACTGGCCTTATTATAGCATAAAATTATAAACAATTACTGTTTAAAAAACTAAATTTAAAATGTGTATCAATTTTTGTGGTGATTTATTCCAATAAGACCATCAAATTTATTGTAATGCATCAAAAACGTCAAAATTTGGATAAATTTAACTTTAGCCTAAAATAACTCTTCAACTATCAGGTTTCTCGCACAATCATAGGAGACACTTTTTGTAGAGCGTTCAATTCTCTATAAAAATATGTGATTGAATTTTTTTCACGACACACGACGGGCTAGCAATAAAAATCAGAAGGTGCAAACAAAAATTTTCCCATGTTATTCTTATGGGAAATAGAAAAACGCGATGCGGACGGTCTTAATATTAATATTAAGAGCTCAAATTTTAACTGGTATTTTTTTACGTTGAAAAGAAACTTTTGAACCTCTTTGCACGAAAAAAAAAATTATTTTTTTTTT